TGGAATATATTATTAAATACAAAATAAATAAAATAATTCGCCCTTGTTACTTTTGATTGTGTAACACTACCTTGCATTAGATTCACCTAAGCCATAAAAAATATGCATTGCTTAAAATTATACAGAATTAAAGGTCTTTTGCATATTGCCAAGTAATTACAGTAATCGAAATGAACCAAATGCATATTCCAACATTAATAGAAGTAATTCAAGGTTTGTTTAAAAAGATAAACCCAGTATTCACTTACTCTGTAATGGTAATCAAGAAATAACAGTTATCGCTTTTCGTGACAAAGTGTGTGTATGACAATCTACGATTATGACAATCTGCATATATTATGACGAGGTTATGTCAGAATACTCAAATCGTCTTACTAATGACTTGATGCGTATGTGACCAAATGCGTAAGTGACGTCGAGCGTGTAATCCCTCTAAAAGACGATACGTGATCTAATTAGAAGCGGCTTAAATAAGTGTCGATGAAAAATTTATGTACATTTATCACGAATAATTTAGCGTAATCAAGTTAAAATTTTAGTATTAGTAATAAAATTTAAAAAATATTTACAATCGACTCTATATATGTATTTCCAAGGTATCAATAATTTTATTCAACTTATCTACTATATACTTTAAAATACGTCTTAGTTTAATTTTATTTAAGTCGTATATAGCAAGAATTTGCTTTATTATTATTGCTTCTTTTACTACAATTTGGTTGTTAGATGCTGAGAAGTCTTTATATTTTATCTTTTTTTTTCAGTTTATAGGAAATTGTAGAATTATTGTAAGACTGGAAGGAAATTTCAATATATCAAACATAACAAACCTTAGTTCTCAAAAATGCTAACACATCAGAAGTAACATGGGCGTCGCAGAATATTCTGTAATGTCCATGTATTGATGTCTATAAGTGATAGTTACCACATTTCGTCAGATGGGCTGTCAACTTATTTGCAATTTTAACTTGTATAAAAAAATATTCTATGTTCCACTTACAATACAAAATAATATAGGAAATAATCAACACAGTGTTAATGTATACATATCCTACGATTTTGACAACATAATTTTGGTCTGCAAATAAGTAGTGAAACTATCCTATTGCTTAAAACTAAAGAATTGTTGTGCAAATTAGATATTTTCCCAGGAGGTTACTTTCTTCGTGTCTAATGACTGCAGACTGCTGACTAGCGACTTCTCGAAATTTACTTAACTGACCATGACTAGACTTGGGTTTACGAGTTGAATACATACATAGATGAAGACAGATAACTGTTTATTCTCATTACAGCTCGAATTAAAGACCTTGGCTCTCATTATGTTAGAAAATTAAATATGTTTTCCATTTTATTCAATATGGTTATACTTAATATAATGAGTGTTTAAATAACTAATGAATGTTTTTATATATTTTTAATGAATTTCCTGATTTTTCATAATTATACTTATACTTGTATGTACATAAGGAATAATGATATGTTCAAATATACATTAGACACTAAATCGAATGAAGAGTTTTTCTAATTTAATAATATATTCTTTTACGTTTTCCGTCCCAATATATCGACGTTCCACTAATTCAGCCTCTAGATATATTCCATCTATGTATAAACTAAACTAATATATAGTACAATGAGACTCGTTATTTAGAAGTTTAGTTTATTTCTAGCCATTTCTCGCGACTTCACTCGCATCAATCAGTATATAAAGTATCCTGCTAAGTTAAGATATTATCAGTCATTATCCACTTTCAACCTAACTTAATTAAATCCCACTACCTGTCAATATTTTTTTTTTGTTTTTTCTTTCTCTCTCTCTCTCGTCTTGTTTTTGTGTGTAAAATTATTGTATATATATATATATATATATGATTAATATGTATGAATAATGTTGCAATATGTATGTTATGTATTTTATGTAACATATACTATTATAAATATTTATGTGTATATATGGTATTCATATGATTATTTGCATATGTTTTTTTAACATAAGTAGTTTTAGTATGAGTAGTATTTTTTTAATGGGTGATAATGGAATGGTAACCCCACCCGCGCTATTGGTAAACACCGGCGGGGCATCAGTGAAGGATGATAGGTGAGGATGAAGCAGGTCAGTTAGCCCATAATGATGAATTCAAAAAGAATAGTTCATGATGGTTTCCAGGGGGAACCACGTGGAGGTCGACTAAATAGGGCATATTGCTAGGAATGGGGCTATCAAAGTCCATTACTAACTAGTTTGAATAGTGTAACATACTCGTATACTTATTGCGCCAAATAACTACCGACTCTTTTGTTTTTCCTCTACCAAAAGATTATCTGAAAGAGATTGCTTTAGCGATAAGACCGCCTTTGGTACTTCATAGATGTATATAATATATGTAAACTGTTTTGTACAATTCTACCCATGTTTCAAATTTTATAAAAAAAAAGAGAAAGAAGAAATAATAAACAATATCCATTCGTCCATCCATCATGTAGGCAAAGTCGACTGACTTACAAGTCATGCTTTCGAGGTGTGCGAAATATCGTAATTAAAAAAAATCTATGTTAAATTTTATGGGTATTAACTAAAACCTATAATGATTTACATCGAGTTAATTTTCTTTTGCATATGTATATTGCGCTTGTAATCATTATAATATAAAAATTATTTTATTAACATTGTCTCTACCCACTGTACCAATAAATATAATAAACTTCAATTCAGATATTTCACACACCATCAGAGCATGTCTCGTAGCGCCAACCCAGTGATCTCAAAAGAACGATCCCATTGCACACGGCGCGTTTCAACTGATTAACTTTTTAATACAATGTCAATGACATAAGCCGAGAAAGTAAGAACTATGTGGCAACGAGTGTCATAAGAGATACCCGATAAAAACGAAAGCATTGCGGTCCATTGTAAATTTGTGGTTGACAGTGTCTATCTATATCGGTTGCTTCCTACACAATAAATTATTAATATTCGTCGTATATTCTTGATATTATAATATAGACGTCGACAGTATAAAATACTCTTGAATTGTTTAGCATGGTTTAAGACTTCAAATTATATTTATGTTGAGTCTTTATTACGTAATTCACAGCTTCATAATGATATTATTATAGTTTTAATAAGCATAAAGGTAATCTATTATTATAATAATGATGTCTTTGTTGGTAGATATCGATAGATGCAGGTGCTTCTAGACTATAGTACCTACTTTGTTGTGAAACATGCGGGAAACTCGTATTTAGCAATAAGCTATAGGTAAAATAATATTGTAGCTAAATAAAAATTATTATTATTTTGCCATATATCTAGAATATAAAATAAAAAAAAAATATAAAAAATACTGTGCCTTTATAAAACAACTGTAGTTTAAAAACTAGCTGCAAAACAAAAATACTTACAAAACTCGGAAGATGCAATAACAAGTTAGATATTTATATCATTCTAAATAGTAACTAATGACCCCGTGAACATTTAGATTTCTACCTACACACCTACTTAGCATGTCTTCAATGACAGTAAACTATCTATGACAAACACATATTACATACAAACTAGTTGATTTTTTAAACGTTGTTTTACGCGCTATCGCTTCCTATCGGGTATATTTTTCTTATCGGGATAAAAACATACTCTATCAAGTTGATGCAAACAATACAGTAATTTTACATATTTCATTAAGATCGGTTTATTAAAATGAACGATCATCTTGACACGGGATTTTCATATATTAAGATATATTAAAATTTTAAGTAAATGTACAGTCTGTATAATAACTACCTACATACATTCTTTACGGTTATATACTGGTGTCATTGCTTTACTATCACTTCCTGATTATGACCGGTGACCAGTCGCATGGTTGCTCCGAGTAATCAATCTCTGACGAGATTATACGTGCTGTAGGTATACACTCTATACATTTATGGAACACAGCACACCCTTTAATTATTGGTCGAGTATTGAGCAGAATAGTAGAAGTAGCCGTGAACACGATCATAAACAAAAATTTTGTTTATGATCGTGTTCACGGCTACTTCGATTAGTTGGCAGGGAATTTTCAGTTTTCGAAACCATACTATTATCGCACCTCAGACACCTCATACAATAACACCGTGATCCGTAATTTTTTTTATTATTGAAGGATCCCGCGATTGACACGATCTTATCTGATGGGAAGCGATGATATGGTCTAAGGTGAGCCTCGTGGGCCCACGAATAATAGCCTATCACTTTTGCTTTAATTTGGTGCAGATTAGATTTGATGAAAAAACATCGTGATTGTCACTATTTTGCGAATAAGTGACGAACGGTCATTGAGAAGGTCAACTCAAAGGTCAGCTGCCAAGAGTATTCATACTAATTAGTACTATTACTTATACTGTGCTATTATGCAACTCACACTCGGTAGATTATATTAATATAGGGATAGTACATAATATAAATTACCTGACGTAGCTTTTAGTATACTTAATAATATATTGGATGTTATTTTCTACGTATCTTATGAATTACATCATCTAAAGAGGATAAGTGATAATTACTTATTCACATTCTTAGAATATCGTAGCAGGATATTATGTGTGATATGCAAAAACTGTAATGATTTACAACTTGTTTTCTTACTAAAAGCATAGTACTAAAATGCAATAATTATCTAAGTATATTATTATGTTTTATTTTATAAACCATTTATATTTTATACCACTCAATTAAAAAGAGAACTATATTCTATCATTTGTACAAAAATATAGTGATTCTTTGAAATTAGTAGGTAAAGTATATTTTAGTTAGTAGTATATTATTATAATATCTATACTTCGATCAACACAATTAGTAATTGCTAATATTTAGTCTATCACACTTCTGTATAAAATTTATTTATAAAATGACATGTAAAATTTAAATATAATGGAATTAAGAACCTTCTCTTTTTTTTATTACTTAATTAAAAATATGCAAACAGTATATAGATTTATGTTTGTATTTGTTGCAGGTTAAGGCGAGGTCTATTGCTTTTAACGACCGTGTTAGCTATACAAACGTGCGCACAGAAAAGCAAATCAGATGACAACAGTATACAAGCAGTTCCAAGTGATTTAAGAAGAGCAGTTAGTGAAGCATTAACATTAGAAAAAAGGTTTCTATCGGGCAGTAGTGACACGTAAGTTTTGTTATATTATTTGCGTAATTTTAACATGCAACATACGAGTCTATGTGTTCTTCGCTTTACTTACTTGCCCACTAAAATTTTGTATTATACTAAATACGATAAACCAGAGAAAGAATTATATAAAGTCACTGTTAAGTTCTATCTCCCTTATTAGCTAATTTTACCAGTGACAATAGCGGAATGGTAACTCCACCTACTCTATTGATGGCTGGCTGGGTTCCAGAGAAAGATGAGAGATCTAGATAGTGGAGAGTCAGATAAAGATAATGTCATATCAATTGACTCATTATAATGAATTCACTAGGAATCAACCGTGATAGAATATTTTAGTAGTAACCTTGATCCTTCCTCCCCCCCCCCCTTGTAATTTTTATTTAAAAAAATAGGATGTAGTATTTATATTATCAGTTACTAAACACAAGATCTGCTTGTTATGGAGGTCAGCAACGTTATTCACTAACTTTACTATGCTTGACTTACAGCTTCGCTGAAAAATATAGCAACAAAGTTTCCAAAACTAGTCGAAATCATAAACAATAATTTTATATACTTAGGTATAATTAGTAATATTGTAACTCTTTGCTCTATATTGCAGACAGAACTGCTCAACAGACAACACAGCAGCAAGCAATATCCCTTGCCCACCAAGCAAGTACCGCAGCGCCAGCGGAGAGTGTAACAATGTGAGGCATCGCCCATGGGGCAGACGGGGAGATATCTTCTTAAGGCTGATGCCGCCCAAATATGCCGATGGTAAGTAAGTTCTTTAAAATCATTACTATTACAAAAAAATAAAAATCATATTTTAATGCTTGCAAGATTTTAACCCGTGTCTCTTACAATTGTATTCTTCTGTTTGAAACATTAAAGGTAAACATTTTAAAAATGTTTCAAAATATTGAATCACTACCATATGATTTGACGGACAAATTTAAATTAATAATATAAAATAAATATTGTAAATATTATTAATTATTATAAATATAAAAAAGATATATCTAAGATAGATTTTTAGATAGGAGCCCATCTTCAACGATTGATTTTTTTACATTGCACGTTTTAATAAATATTATTATTTAAATTATGAGACTAATCAGAGATTTGTTCTTTACATTATTAACATTGACGATATATAAATAATTTCATTTTATATTACTATTATATATATTGTGCAAAAATTAAAATAAAATACATTAAATCGCAATGTTTTGAAGAGATTTACATGCAAGGTTGTATTTAATTCTTTTTAGTATCAAACAAAACGTATTTACACGTTTTTATAGAAATTATATTAATTTATATTAAAGAATTATTGCAAATTATTGTAAATTTGAAGCACGAAAACTATTCGTATGTTAATAAACAATTTGATTTTAATATATTAAAAGTAAATCTACTACTATATTACAAAATGAGAATGGACGGAGGTCTCTCATTCAAAAACTTTCATGGTTTAAATGAAATTTAGTACGCAAATAAGTTACACCCTAACTTAAAAGATAGAATACTTTATATAACTAGTAAGAAAATCTGAATTAACAATAAACCCACTATGAAAAGTTAGGTACCAAAGTTTTTGTGATAGCAAGTAACCGTATCTAAAAATACATCTAGTCATAGTTCCGACACAAGTTTTGTCACCGCAGTTTCTTTTATCTGTAAGTATAATAGATAATATACATGTTTAATGACCATCATCATCATTGTATAAATCGTCTGTGTTCACGCTATCTGTATTATGCAATTAAATTCAACAATCTCAGAATAGGTACACATGACGCGACATCGAACTGTAGCCGAAGGTCGTATAAAACTAAAAAACCTTAATCTTCATGCATTTAATTTGAATATGAAATGTAGAATATCTATTACCTATATTTCAATATTGAACTAACTGAATGTATTCAAACGAAAATTGAGTAATAGAATGAAACCTAATAAGTGAGGATATGACATAATCAATCTTTTGGTGCGGTTCTATGCTATGCAAAATCGTCATAATAACCTTAAATCTCAAATAAAGCACATAAACTCTCTTTTTAATCTTAATCAAAATAAGAATAGGTAATAAAATATATAAATGTGTATAAAATTGGCAAAGATATCGCATCATGTAAATACAAAAATATGCAATCGAATAGAGAACGTCTTCCTTTTTTAAAGATGGTTGATAATAACACCTAGATACGTTCATGTTGATCTATTATTTAATTAAACCTGTTATCGAATCATGACGAACCTATTTTAATCGGTTTAAGAATTTTACCTGGTAGGCTGCTGGTGGGTGAATAAATGCAACTTTTTTGTCCACGAACTTACAAACAAAAAAGTTGTCAAAGACGTATTATATTGAGGTCAACAACCACAGTAGGTACATAATCTTAAACGTAATAAATATCATGGTATTTAATCTCTAATTACGTCATAATATTCAACTAGAGAATCTGTATTGGAAAGATTTCGATAATGTTTTTGCTGGTACTTATTAACTTTATTTTTACACTAAATACCAAGCAAAAGAGAATAGAGTGTCAAAGGTTTCTATTTTTATTATGCTTATTTATATTTCTTGCTTCATTCACTTTCGTAACTACCAGTTATAGATTTATCAGTTGTAGATTTGAAGAGAGAAGCCTTTTAGATAGTATTCAGTCTATGTTATCATTGTAGGTTTGTCCTAATAGGTGAGAATAAAATAGTAATTCCGCTTGCGATATTGGTATACGGTGGCGGGCCACCTGTGAGAGAAGATATATGAAGGTGAAGCAGGTCCGTCAGCCCATCGTAACGAACTTCACAAAACTTAACCATAATAGTTTTCACGGGGAATCGCGTGGATAATCCGTTATTAAACACCATTACTAACAATCCCTTTTCTCCCGATCACTGTAGATATGTTTTTAAAGGATGACAATGGAATGCTAACCCCGCGTATATTAATGATATACGCTGGCAGAGCACCAGTGAGGGATGATATGTGTGAATGAAAAGGCAAGTCAGTTACCCCGTCGTGATGAAACACCTGGAATTCAGCAGGATGGTTTCCAGGAAGGACCACTTGAAGGTCGACCTGATGGGATGTATTACTAGCAATGGGTCAGTTAGACCCCGTTACTAATAATCCCTTCCCCTCGATCATTATAGGTTTTTAATGGGTGAAAATGGAATGGTAATGCCTGTCGCCTACGCTATCGGTATACGCAGGCAGGGCACTAATGAGAGGTGATAAGTGAGGGTGAATGCAGGTCGGATAGCCCATCGTGAAAAATGCCGTGAGAATTAACCACGATGGTTTCCAGGGGGAACCGCGTGGAGGTCGACCTGATAGGATACATTGCTAGCAAGGGAACTGTTAGATCCCATTACTAACAACCCCCTTCCCCCCGATCATTATAAGTTAGGTACCAATAGGTTCAGCAATTAACGATGAATTAACAGATATGATATTATATATAATAAACTACTTCATATCTCAACAAGGAGCTCATGGTTCTTAAAAAAGAGAAAGATTCATCGTAAAACTATATTTAATATTAAATTTAATTATTATATTTAAAATTAACTATTACATTTTATAAGTAAAATCAAATGGCAAAAGTATGAAGATTCGAAACGTAATAAATTCATAAGACTAAAAAATCCCTGACAAAATATAAAAACGAATTAACTTCATATTCATTCTTAATAAAGCTGGTAATCGCGAGATATTTACCTACAATATTTTTTATACGTTCCTGAATTATTTTTATATTTCCACTCATACATTTTATTTGAGAGAAAAGGATTTTATGAATACTATGACTGTATTTTGGATAATACCCATTACGTATTGTATAATTTGAATGAAGTATTTACCTAAATGTCTACAATTTACGATGTTACTGTAGGTTGAATACATTGTTATAAACAATTCTTGAAACATTATACGTACCATCACCAGCTTTTTTGCCCTTTTAGGAATTACCACCGGATCTGATGAAACATAAAATATTCACATCGTTTCTAAGAAACGGAACTAAGCATTAACCACAGTAATAGTAGGTAGGTACTTTATAGATATTGCATAAGCATTTGTCTGGTAAGAAATATTTTTGTGTGAGTAATAATTACCTATTTATACTATGTTTAGATCACTCCTGACGCACACTCTTACATTAATATATATTGTACAATAATAATACCTATGTACTTTTATTTCAACCCCTATAAATCCACAGAAGAAGTAATCATTAGACGCTTAATTGAAATAAAAAATAAAAAAATATTTGTGTTAAATCTATGCAACGTGAATTAGAAAATTTTAGACTACACTGTAAATATTCATTTATATTAGTTATTGGATTGGTTGCATAGAATCATTATATTTAATAATCGACACTACACTTATATTGATAAAATAATAAATATTTGATAAAGTTGAATCTAATATAATTATTTTTCGACAACAAGTTTAAAATTATTATTTTATATTGTAATAAAAAAATAATTCTTTGAAATGAAACACCTTTAACAAACTCCTTCCAGTAAACATGTAAGTATATTGGTATTGATAATCATATTTCGTTTTTACAGACACATTAATTAATACACAAAAACACAACAATATCATAATTATAAATACATATCCTCATGTTTCCATATTTACTCTTATTTACGTCTTTATAATTATAAGGTATAAATATATATATATATATAATTACTTGTATTGTAAAAAACCTTATACACAACAATTAAAAGGTAGATCCGGCTAGTTCATCGAAATATTCGATCAATAGATATTTTGTTAAATATTTATATATAACATAACCGTTGTCATTGTTACAAAACAACTAACCACATTGCCGTGTGGTCCTAGCATGTTACCCATAATGGGCCACCCCTTCCTTTCCCATGGATGTCGTTAAAGGCGGCTAAGAGAACTTAATCGGATGGGCAGCAGCGTCCCTCTTAAAACATTTCCAAAGCTGATCTGCATTTGCCAACTCGCCTGCCAATTGTGTCAACTACTGGTAAACTCCCCTTTATGGGGGAGGCCGATATTCAGCAGGGAACAGTTAGTGGCTGACATGGTGATCCCATCCGTATTTATGCTGTGAAGCAGCTATGCTTGCATGCTTGATTCATGAAATTTAGTATAATTATATGTACTCTATGAATTTAATAAAGTCATAGACTATTATTTATCCAAGTTAATCGACAGATCCGCGGGTAAAAGTTAGTACCCAATATTTTTTACGAGTACCTTAATAAAGAAATAAAAAATTAAAATATATACTTATGTATATTAAAATAAATTAATGTAAATTTAAATGTATTATCTTATTCTAGGAATCACCCAACCTCTATCTGCACCCCAAGTACCAGACGCCGCCTTGGTAGTGCATGCAATGGCCCAGCTAACGCAGCCTCCAGATCACGACTACGTGACCAGCATGCTGGCAGCTTGGGGACAGCTACTGATCGACGACCTCGTCGGCACTGCCAATGGGAACAAGGTATTTGAATGGTCATTATACTTTTAATTGTGTTTACTTATACGATCCCGATTAGTCACACACTAACTGAATAAAAATCAACTACTCTCACGCCAATGTCAAAATTAATTATTTCATTATTGACATTCACAAAATAATTTTACTCGAATTTATGCAAATTGGATGTTAAATTTTGTAACCAAAACAATTGGATTGAAACTTAATTTTTAATAATTACCTGTCAATCTTACTGTTAATTTATTTAAACTGATCATAACCTAGTCATGAGAAACTTAACAACGAATATCTTGATATAATCGAGAACACCCAACCTGAGACCATTTAAAGTAATATTCCTTTAGTTAACCCAATCAACAACTAAACTTTAGACCTTATCTAATATCATTACTCACAGAAATTGTGAGAATACCTAGTAGGTATATTTTATATGGTAAATACCGAAAAATACATATTTAATGAAAATCCAAGTATTAAAATAGATCTGAAACTTATGACTTGGTAATATGGACCACAAAATCAAAATCTATATCTACTCAGAGCTAGATTAGTCATAGCAGGTCCACCTGAACCACGTACCAAAACCAAAGTGCATTCATAGATTACGTATTTAGTCCCGCCGCATCGAATCACACGTAATATTCAGTATGAAGGCCACCGGACGCAAGCTTTTTGTTAAAAGGAACGGATGGTGTCGCAACGCACGCATTCATACGACGTAATCGTCAATCTAATGATGCGATCGACTCGATTTTTTTTCAAGTATACTAACTTGAACTTGGCCGAGACTCGACTGAGATCAATTATGAATGATTACAATGTTAATAAATCACCTGATGACGTAGGTACACAAATACTCTACAATATGTTTAATCTTATAAGTTTATAAAAGTATCTTTATTATATACTTTTTTTTTTAAAATAGAGTTTTATTACATCAAAATTTTAAAAGTAAATAATATACTCTTTAAATAGCAGACCTTTTCGACCTCTAGAAGTTTTATATTTGTTTATTACGTGGATGTATAAAAACCATAGATTAAACTCGTTTAGTGTTTTTTTTTATTAAAAAACTTAATTTTATACATGCAGGTATAGATTTAATACTAATAATTTGTCTTGTACAATATAATAAATAATTAACTAACTATAATTAATTTGACTTGTTATACATAAAGATAAAATATAATTACATAGGGGGCATCCATTAATTACGTGAGCTCTTTTTCGATGAGTTTAGACTCCTCCCCCCCCCCCTTAGGTGAGTATTTGTGAGATTTGTCTTGACCCCCCCCACCCCTTATGTGAGATTGACCCAAAAAATATTTTAACCTTAATTTATATTTATTGTTCGGGAAGATAATAAATCGTTCAGGTATACTATAATTAAATTATTGTAATTAAATAAAATTCAAAGTAAAAACATAAAAACAACACTTTCTTTTAAATTTTTACTCAATCCATGGAGATTCGTGTATTTTTTCAATCGAAATAATTGGACACATATCATCTGGGATTTCTAGTAGTGCAGGAAGACAATCACTGGAAACGTCTACGTTTATCTTTAATATTTTAGTAATATCTTTAATATTTTATATTTTTTGAAGTTGACGTGAGATTTTTGATTATTCCCCCCCCCCCCCTCGGTTTAAATGAGATTTGGTGAGAATTCATTAGACCCCTCCCCCCCTATTCTGAGCTCACGTAATTAATGGATGCCCCCATATGTATATATTTTAGCAAATTCGTTCCACGTTAAATATTCTTGTCGTAAAATAATAATTAACGTTTTATTATTTAAGTAGCTAGATATACGACTATCTATATGAATATATAATATGTTCTATTATTGGTTGACATTTATTCAAATCCATATGTGCAACAAATTATAGGATTCAGTTATTCACACTTTGTAAAATATCACATGTGCTATGGGTACTATAGGAAATTTAAGATATTATTAATTTTACAAATACTGTAAAATAATACGAGGCGATACGAATTACAAATTATGTTATCATAAATTAGTTAAAGAAGGTGGAATGCAATATTACAAAAATAATATTTTTTCCTTTTTTTCCTTATTTTTTGTAACTGTCTTACATGAACTGTAAATTTTATTTACCTAGTCTTTATTTATGTATACAGGTAATTTTATGTATGGATTCAAATTTAATGTCAAAATAGTCATTGATTACTGAGTACCATTTTTTAATAAGAGATCTGAATATATTATGATTACAAGGTATATTTGAAAATAAATAAAAATAAAAGATAAAGTAAATTTTATTCATAACTGTTCTTCTCTCGTAATTAGGAAATAAAAGACTTGTTAAACATTTAAAACGTATGAATGGATGCAAACATTACATAATATTTCGTGATAGTTCGCGAGGTCGACCAAAGAAAGGTTACGTGTGCACTTTTATAATAGTGAAAGCAATGAAGTAACAGGTGTACTCCGTTCCTTATAGGCTATACGAGTACTTATGGGTGTGTCTCTATGATCTGACTGGTACTCTATGATTTGACACTTGCTACTATGCAACAATCAAATACGTTTACATACTTTAAAAGATCACTATATTATTTTCAAAATTCATGAACTCATTCACATTAGCCGATAACTATCCCACTGCTGAAGATAAGTTCATAGGAGAAATAGGCCTATGCCTTCCCCATAAAGGGGGTTTGATTACCATATTTGATAGGCGTATTGGCAATTGCAGTTAGGCCTTTGGAAGAGACGCTGCTGCCCATCCCTCGACTCTTTAGTTCTCTTAGTTACCTCTTACAACACCTTAAAGGAAGGGATGGCTCATTGTATGCAGAGACCATACCTTCTAAAAATATTATTACATTTACTGCATATACAAACTATCCCATTTATTAAAATTAAAATAGTTAACGTCACCCATAAATATGAATGTACTGTTCATGTCTTAAATTTATTTTATTTATGGTTATCACAAAATGTACCTTAAATAGGCATCATGTTTGCACTGTATTTACTCAAGTATTAAAGTTGATACAATAAAGCGCATGTTGTTAATATGGGTTATCATATTAATAATAGATTATATTGCTGTAGCCATAATTCTTGGCCGCGATTAAACATTACTCATTTATTTTGCAAGTGTACGTTGCAAATCACAAAATAAACATATTATTCCGATATAACTGAATATTAATTTAATCTCATGTTTTTGTTGTCAATATATAAAAATCTTATGTCACGATATTCGTTCACGCTGTTTACAAAATGGCTAAGCCAATTTTCATTAAATTTTCTAAATATTATTTGCTCCAGCTTAATTTTTTTTTTCCGTATAAAACAGCACGCCACCGATAGGCAGCAGTACGGCAAGTTAGTTAGTATAGCCGTAAAATACACATTATTAATTTAGAACTTTATGTTCACACATTCATCTCACATCAAACGGATTTCCGCAAATTAATAATATTTTATTAATACAAAAAATACAGGCAACGAGTGAAACTTACTCATGTTCATGTAAAATAAAATACTTTCTCTGACAATTCTATGTATCTATTTTAGTTATATTGATAACTCTGAATAAAGCAAAATTACATAATATCGATTTTGCAAATATCGGTCATGATGAACATACTCGTCATATGGAATGAAATTAAAATAAATAATCTAAAAAAACAGAGATAAACAAATAAAATATTAATTTTATATAAAATTTGCCCATCACTTGTTTCCATTGTTATTTTGCCATTAAATGCCAGTTTTGTAGTGTATAAAATATAAGAACAGAGTCTACATTATATGACGGAGTATAATGTACCTATATTATTTTTTTATTTATTTATTTATTCTTTATTGACCACATTACAAAAAAAAATGTCTGGTACAAAAGGCGGACTTAATACTATATAGCATTCTCTCCCAGTCAACCTTTGGCTAAACAGAAATTTTATTATGCGGTGAAAAAAATTACAACACATACAATAGAGATTATATAAATATACATACATATTACAAAGATGAATAAGCTAGCAATCCAAATTCAAATCATCTTTATTCAAATAGACTTGACAAGCACTTTTGAATTGTTATTTTTTCTACTACACTACATGGTTTCGGTAAAAAAAGTTGCTCAAGTCGCAAGAAACGATACTTCGACAGTTACTCTTTTAAATCTCTATTAACATTATGTATGTTATTTAAATAAATTGTCGAAAATTACATGCTCATGAAGCAACGTATCATGAAAGTCTTAGATAGATCACATAAAATGCTAACCGCATTAATTTTATTTTCCCAAACAGCAAAAATATATCTTAATAACTCTGCACCTGCATCCGTAGTTGATCGCCCTTTAGAAAAACTAAATTGACTATTATGCATTAATTCGTTTAAATTAAAATAATTAACCAATTATGATTCAACATGATTATTTCAAAGATTTTACTCATTGCCGAATGAAATGATAGCTATAGTTATTTACTGGATCGTTTTTAGTCCCATTTTTAAAAAGCTGTATAATTTTATTAAGTTTCATTAGATTAGGAAACTTACAATCATCTATGCACTTGTTAAAAATAAAAACAAGAAACGGTGCAATAATTTTAATTACACGCCAAGTATTTTAATAGATATCTTCCATAAGTCCTCAGTTTTTTTGTTATTAAGTAATTTAAATGTTTTTATTATATCTACGGGAGTTATATGGTTAAAACTAAACACAACTGATGGCATGCTAACATTTTCTGTTAATAAAGCTTATTATTGTATTATATGTAAGTATTTATACAATATATTATATGTATTTGTATGTAAGTAACGCAATAGTAATTATATAGAAAACTGATTCACTCATATGAAGTTACTTTCTTTCTCTTATAGTGCCTCTTTAACTAATGAAGATAACAATCACATCTGTTGTGATTGTATCTTCTAATTGTGTGCTAAAAGAAATAATTTTAATCGACTTTACTCAAGATGCCCAGTCAATTCCGGATGTTGTGGAGTTACAACTTTTTTCTGCGATCGACCTCTCTCTTACCAGCTATTTTGTCTATCATAATTACTTGTAAAATTATTCGATAATAAATACCTAATGAAAATACGAAGTTTTCTGTTGTTTATTATAATTAAAAACCACAACCTCCATATTGATGACATTTTGTGTCAACATTCGTCGGTATGCCTACATTTTAAATTACTTCTTCTATACGTTTGCTCTTAAATAATATCATATCTGTACTTTCTTTTAACATTCATTCGTAAATTAAATTTGGAATGGTCACCTAATTAATTAGGTGTAATCATAAAATACTAATTGACCTAATCTACATCTACATACTGAGACGATAAAACCGGAAAGTTGTTATGGTCCGCATTATTATTAATAAAGCTATAACATTACCTCTCACAAATTATGCACCTATGTAATACCTGTAATAAACCAAAACTATAGTTTTTTTTTTTATCTGCATCGTAAATTTTAAACCGAAAAAGTGAATAACAGTACAAAAATCATTGAGATTTATTTTTAAACAAACCTACACCCACGTAACCAAGGTACTTTGTAGTTACACTAGTACAGTTCTAACTCAATCAGAAACCTAATAATAAAAAATAAGCAATGCAATGTGGTAACATAACTATTATTTTTAAATATTCTGCCTCCCATAACTAGAATTGGTATTCCTTTCGATATTATTATGTTCTATTTATAAATTCAGTGATTTAAGAAACTGAAAAATGTACGCAGTAGAGTAGCAAAACATGTAACTACATTGCACAAAATATTTCTACGATGTTCTATATATTGATTTTTGCCTGATACCATGATTAGTATTATTGAAATAAAATAGACAATTATTGCAATTTATTATTCTATAAATTAAAATGTTTAATTATTTATGTTTATATACAGGAATGCAAAGGTCCAGAATCTACGTGTGAATATGAGCGATCAGCACCTGCAAGAGACATTGATTCGTGTGGTTTCGGTGCGTATTCAATATACAAGATATCTACTATACTTTTTTAATTAGCAATGGTTAGTATTTATCAATGTTTAAATAGAAAAACGTACAAAACTGAACTACTGTGTAATTTGGATGAGTAGACAGTGTTATAATAGCCTAAAGCTCGGAGATAAACTAAAATACTTAACTTGGTATAACATACATGATAAAAAATAATTTATACTAATATTTAAACATACAAAACAATACTGGTTTTCGATTTACTTAGTTTACGTGACTAATTTGGATGAAATTTGGTATAATTAACTCTGTAATAATAGGTATAGATTATTCTACAGATTGTCAGTGAATGATATAACACTCTTTTAAATCAACTCCTAAGGATAAAACGGGATGAACAAGCTTACGGATTGTAACATATTTAACTAATTACAAAATTATAAACACGTATTGTTTATATTATTTTCTAATATAGGCAACATATTCACTTGTTTATAACTACCATTGGTTATCGTAAAATATTACATAAATACGTTTATCTTACTAATATAATTATATTATCCTATTGACCTAAAGCTAGAACATAATTTAAACGATTATTTCACGGTGAGTGGGTTCGAAGTTGTTTGAAAAGTAACACCCTGCGCGCACGCACCTACTAGGAAATGTTTGAACAGTAACTGGTTTCACAAAGCATGCTTACATTTATTTCGCAACATTGCCATATAATTGTATACCACACTATTCTACTAAAAGATAAACTATATAAATCCTAATATCTCAGAATCAAGAAGCTCAGATTTTTTTATGTCTAATTAGGTATCATTATCATCATGCAATTAAAACTTGTTTAGTATCTATATTGATTAAATTTTTATAATTTTTATTCGAATAAATAGGTTTATATTATTTTTATACTTTTAAACATTTTTTAATAATTATTTTTGTTTGATTCTACCACCCAATTTGGATTCTGATACAATTTCAGCTAGCAAGAACGGGTAAAAAACTTAAAATAGAAATTTAAAATATTAGTTACTTATTGATTCTGGTAATTGTTGGCACTTGGTGAAGTTTGGAATACATCTTTATAGGTTAGCTAATGAAATCACTGGTACTCCTCAAGCTTCACATTTCATTCCAAAAATCAATGAGACGTCTTTAATAATGTTTTAATATGGTCAGATAGTAATAATGTTTTAAAGCGTTCAAATTATAAAATATATAGTTAAATAAAAATACAAAAATGTATGGAACGAGTACAAGTATGATCGTACTTATAAAAAGATATTAATTAACTTCTAAAACCACAACTATTGTACCTATTTAAAATTATAATATTAATATTAGTAAACTTAAGAAACTATAGTTATGTTTTACGAATAAATCTTATTTCATTTCATTTCAGTTATTTAATATAAATAACTGAAATGAAATGTAAAATATTATTCTTTCTATTTATATCTTTCTTATAATGTTTTTTTAATGTTCTCATCAATATTTATTCTTCCTTAGAGTACCGTGAGCAGATGAACCTAGCTACTTCTGTACTCGATGGCTCTGCTCTCTACGGCAGTTCCGAAAAGGAATTGCGCTCACTTCGACTCTACGATGCTGGCAAACTGGATATGGCCTCGTGTCGCAAGTCAGTATTATTTGACCCATCAAATTTTCCGATTACATATTGAATAAATAACAAATATTTATATTTAAATACCGATTTTAAAACAGACTACTAATGGATCTGCCATTGGTGGTCTATTTTAAAGTGGGTATTTGCAAATCCTTACTATCACTACATTATTCGAATAAAATATCTCCAGGAGTAGCAACGCGGGAAGAATATAGGGGTGTTGCAATATATTTTATGATCCCCTAAATACTGTTCATACTCGTATATATGGTAATAGGCGAAGGTTGCAACTTTCCATCAAGTGAGCCATCAGTTTATTTGCCATTCATCATCATCATCATATCAAACGTTAACTGACCAGTGCTGAACATAAATCTCCCCCATAAAAGAGGGTTTCGCCAGAAGTTGCCACGCTTGGGAAACGGGTTGGCAAGCGTAGTTAAAATTCGGTGATATTTTAAGAAGGAAGCTGCTGCATTGACCATTAAATTCTCTTAGTCGCCTCTTACGACACCCACGGGAAGAGAAGGGTTGGCCCATTTTATATTCTGTTATTAGTGGTGGCTATTGGAATTTGCAAAAAAAAAAATATTTTATATATATATTCTTTATTGCACTAAAACATACAGTAACAACAATAAGTTAATAACAATGTTAGCAAAGGCGAACTTATCTCTAAAAGAGATTTCTTCCAGTCAACCTAACGCAGTGGCATAGGAAGTACTGAGTGGGCAGTAGTAGTGCAAGACAGAAATTTAAATAACTATTTACATAAATTATAAATAATTATATATATACACACATACATACATATATATATATATATATATATATATACACACACATATACACACATACATACACACGTTAAATACAACATATAAATATCAGATACAAGAGAACACAATGATGACAGTCTTCTAATCATTTTTATATTTAATATAAATTGGAAAGATAGAATGATTTTAATCTTTTTTTTGAAGGAACTTTTATACTTAGTGTAGGTATTAAGCAATTCCTATATTTACATATAGTTATCTAAACATCGTGCCAATAGATGCGTTTACGTGGTTAATAAAGAGGAAGTAAACAAAATAAACATTGTATAAGAACAAACAAGTTTATCTTCACGCACGCCAGTCTAACGTAATTAATATAGTTAGACACATCTAGGCATTTATGAGAAAAAATATATTATTAACTTGTAGAGGTAGTTAGCAAAGCAGTAATGTCACAATAAAATCATAATATTGAAAAAAAAAGCCAAAGAAAAAGAAAAATTCATTCCCTTTTTTTCTCATTTTCCCTTTAAACTTAATCTTGCATTACAGAGTAACTGTTTGAGTCATAGATTGTTTTTTGCTCTTCTAATACAATTATTTTTTTTATATGTATATATTTATTTATCATATGTGTATGCTTATATTAGTCTAACTATATGTTTATAATATATTAAGTAACGAAATATTAAATATTACTTTATTTTTCCTTTAGTTAATAATGCACCACTTCTCGGTTTGCCTATTAATTAACTGATAGAGAACACCGTCCAGTGTTAAGTCCGCCAAATGTACATAGAATTTTACTGAGCACTAAAGTTTAATTAGTATATTAAGTATAATTCTTTAAAATAATGTTGAGAAATGTATTTCCAACAACAATCGTAATATGATAACATGATCCTATCAAAGCTGAAAGTAATACATTCAATTGACGGTAAAACTAAATTAATTTTAAATGAAACAATAAAAAAATAAGATGTCGTATGAGTATATTTTACTGTTCAAATTATTTCAAAAGTTATGTCGTTTTACTTTTTAATTAAACGTGATCGTTAACTGTTATTTCAACAGAAATTACAGACTTAGTACCAACAATTCTGAATGAATTGTTGATACTATCATGATGTTATTTCTTTGTTATTTACGAATTCCTTTTTTATTAATTTTTTTGTAGGTATACAAAAATGTCATATAGAGCCCATTAGAACACAATTTTCTGTACCTATTCAATACTGTACTATAATAACTATCCACCTATATCTTTGTCCCAGTTAAATAGCTGATTATAACTAAACGAACGCAATGTTAATTTATAAACGATGACACTAAGATGGAATTCCTAGACGTGGTCACAGAAATGGATTGTATGCAAATACATCTAAGATATAAACCTTGAGATTACGTACCTTCCCTCGTAAAGATTTCAATCATAAGCATATTAACATAGGTGGTTACAAGCAAACTGCTAATTGTATATTAAATGACTTCCTATTTGATAAATCAGTGTCATCATTTGATCAACTTACAATCTTTAATGTAAAGACGTACGATGTAATCAAAAGCATTTGGTCTGAAATCATAAATATATTTTATCACATACCTTTATCATGCCGTCGTAATAATTTATTACTTATTGTAACAATTACTTATTGTTTTATTAATAAAAAAACTAATTATAGCATAAAACACTAAAAAAATATAGCTACTTAAAAATATACATAACTAATATCATTTGACATTGAGATAAAATAAAAAATACATATTACGCAGCACCATCTAATCCCTTTTCAGTATATTCTGTTTATAAGTAAACGATCTAAACCTGGTAAACGTATTACTACTATAACTACGAGTATATATTATATTTTTTGTAAATACCACACACAAATGCCCAAACTAATACAAATAGACATAATAATAAATTAAAAATGCTTGTATTGAACGAAAATCGATTCTGCAGCCATGAAAAGGATTAGTGTATGATTATGCTAAACCGTTACGCTAAAAAATTCGCAAATATTATAAAGATAATAATCGTTGCAAAATACAAGGACCTTTGGTTCGGTCTTTAACAATTTTTCTTGAACTTTAACATTTCCAACATATACTTTACTTAATAACTTCCCTAAATGTACGGAGTCATGGACAAAATTGATTTTGTAACATCAAATAGTGTAATGCTGTATTTAAATGTGTCATTGAATTTTCATTCCAATGCAATATCATGTTTGACAAAATAGGCAAAACAGGATGTAAACCATGCTGTATAATCGAAAGCCTAGTCATGATATTGAAAATTACTTATAATTGTTTATATCTATAATAAATTTAACATACAATTGTAATCTTTTAGAAGAAACAATAAAGAGTATCTATCTATCTATTACTGTTCACACACGTTACACATACACGTTCTTCAATTAAATTTATTAGTAAAGCACAATGTAGGTGATTTTTCACCTCAGTATACGCTGGCGGAGCACCAGTGAGGGAAAATCGGTGAGAATGAAAATGCAGGTCAGTTAGCCCATCGTGATGAATAATACATCTAGAATTCATCACGATAGTTTCCAGAGGGACCACGTGGAGGTCGAACTGATAGGATATATTGCTAGCAATGGGACAGGTAGTCCTTATTGCTAACAATCCCTTCCCACCAATGTAAGTGATTAAGATCCAGTGCCTATATTATTAGTAGTTTTTATAGGTAATAACGTTGTCGGGATGATAGATGGAAATGAAATCAGGTCAGTTGGCCCATCGTAGCGAATCTAGGGTTGACGGGAGACCACATGCAAAATGTTACTAACAAACCCTTCCCTTCCAAACTTTAGTTTTAAAACTAAGCAATTAAAGTGCATATGCTAAATAGTAACAGTAAAATAACTATCGTTTTCCAGATGTAACGACGCTACTCCTACCGCACCTCTATACAAGGCACTGTTATCGGAACACAACCGCATCGCTGGAGAACTATATTCGTTGAATCCGTTCTGGGACGACACCACTTTATACCTGGAAACCAGGAGAGCAATGGCGGCCATCATCCAACATATAACGTACAATGAATTCTTACCAGTACTTTTAGGCGAGGTGAGTCGAAATATTTATTCACTTGATGTTGTCTTTTTCTTCCTCCCTCATATTTCACTACAAAATAGATACAACTCCTTTCAGTTTTTGTTTGTGATTGTGTATCTGTGATTGCGTATGTGTTTGAAGAAATTTAGAATTTCTTCAATAACAAACAAAAACTGATATATATGTATTTTAAGTATTAAATATAATATTTTCAATAATTATAATAATTCTTACATAGGTTTTAAATACCATTATTGTATAATAGGTATTTAATATTATAGCTTTTATGTGTAGATACAGAATTTGAGTTTATGAATTTTAAGATTGAAATGGTGTAAATAAACGTAGTTTAAAAACCTGATTTTTCTTTTATAGCAAAAAATCAGGATATGATATTTTAGTTATGGAACCCTAAATCCTGATCGTACAGTTAAAGTAAAATATCTCGAATTCATATTATTTGATTATTTAATTACATATTATTTACCAGGTTGGAATGGCCAAAGCCGAATTGAAATTGCAGTCACTCGGTTTCTGGCGAGGTTACTCAAGCGCAAACAGAGCAGGCACCTACTCAGAGTTGGTTGCTGTTGCACCCATTTTTATCGCTATGATGAATGAGAAACTGGTAAGTGAATTTTTAAATAGGTTTCTTTGGTATATAAAATATATGCTTTATATACAAACCCTATAGACATTTTCTTCTTTCGGGTTCTCAAGGTTGACTGGAAGTAATAGATGTTCATTAATGATATAACTGATAAATCAATCGTCCGCAGACGAACTCGTCGATCAGCATACAGCACCTGATCGGCACGGCGGCGCACCGGGCGGCGCGGTGGCCGGCGCGCGCGCGCTGGCACGTGCGGCGCGCGCGCGACCACGGCGCGCCGCCCTACGGCCGCGCACTGCGCATGTGCGAGCCCACCGCCACACTCGCCGGCTTCGGCGACATGGGCCGGCTCGGCTTCGACAGGCCGCACGTTGAAATGCTGGCCGATATGTACAGGTACGACTAATTTTCCACCCTGCTCTGTACATAACTAGCTTATGCCAGTGACTTAGTACGCGTGGATTTTTAAAGTTTTATCCCGTTAAAGGTTGAATTCATGCCATTCGTGTTTTTACCATGAAGCAGTTGTGTTTGCATGGCTGTGTTTCGGTTTGAAGGGTAAGATATGGCGTGAATTTACTGGGTACAGAGGAATAACATCTGAGTCCTCAGGAATGGCAACACATTGGAGGTATCATGGGCGAAACAGTTTACTTTATTATGTCCATAGAACCGCTCATGTCTATCGGCGATGGTTACAATTTTCCATTAGGTGGGCCGTCAGCTTGTTTGCCATTCTAAGTTGTATAAAAAAAATATTTTTTTCTTATTATTAACCCATGCTATATAAAGAAACTATCGGGATAATTTAGTGATTTTAAATTGAGCTGTTTCTGCTACGTATTGATATATGGGTCAGTCAGCCAGTCGACATCCCCTTTTACAATTTTATAAGAAAGATTTTAACTATAAAATTAGTCTTTCAATTAATCAGTCTTTCGAAATAAATTCTCATCTTAAATTTCAGAAACATTGAAGATGTTGAATTGGTGATTGCTGGTGCTATGGAGAAGCCAGCGACCGGAGCTGTTATTGGATCAACGCTAGCTTGTGTTCTAGCACTCCAGTTCGCTAACTTGAAAAAGAGTGACAGGTACTTTATTGCACACATACATATAATAGAAATATCAATTTAGAAATTGGTTGACACACAAGCACACGACTTCTCATGTTGCAGGTATTCATGGACAACGGTAGGTCCATTACGTGGACCGTCTGTTCTTTTGCTTCCCTAACAATAAAAAAAATATCAAGCAATTTTAAAATAAATATCGTTTAAGTTTTAAGAACATAAACAAAAATAGAACTATCTTTTTATTGTTAAATGTTAAGCGATGTTTTCACAAATTCTAAACCAACTGTGTGTTATTTTCATGCCTTTTTTTGTGAAATAATATCAATGATTATTTCAATTTCATTTTTCGTTAAACAGGTTTTGGTATGAAAACGACATTCCACCATCTTCATTCCTGCCAGAGCAGTTGGGTGCCATTAGAAAAGTCTCGCTGGCTGGATTACTCTGCGCTGCTGATGATACCATAACGAACATACAACCCAAAGTGTTCATCAAAGAAGATCCTTACTTGTAAGTACCTGCTGTCATAATTTACTCCTGAACTATTAAAACCTGACTGCTATATCGGTATGTTTCGTAGCACTTTCCCTGAGTGACGCGATATTTATTCAATCAAATTCGAGACAATATTTTGTTTTTCACACAAGTATTTTAATAATATTTATATTTAGGTGCTTTTATAATTTATCGTAACATTACATGCCTTTTTACCGTAATAACTTATAAAATACTATCATATTGTCGTCCAGGCTTAAACGTATTTAAATGGAGAGGGGTCCCAGAACGGGCCAGAACTGTTTGATGTTCACCTCAGGATTAGAAAGAGCTTTCAATTCTGCACAAAAACATATCTGGAAGTACATATTATTTTTTATGGTATTAAACCCCCTTAGAAATAGTCATAATTACACCAATGACGTTTATATTGGCGTATATAAATTTATTAGCATATTTATTGTGTAATTCCAGAAATGCTGGCCAACAATGTGCACAACACGGCCGCTTAGAAACAACAGCGTGGCGTGACGACAGCGGGGCGCGAGCCGCTGAACAACTGTCGCAAGACATGCTCGCCGCAGCACTGCAGAAGGCCAAACAGGAGATGGCTAATAGAAAACGTCTCGAGTACATGCTATGGGAATCCCGTAAGTATTTTTCTGTTTCTATTCTGTCATGTTGAAAGTTTCTCGAAATATAAGTAGAAAAAATACAGTAGGGAATTATTCGATTATAGATGAATGATTTGAGAATCCTATATAAGTAACATAACGTCATCCGCGTATGCATTTCTGATGTTGTCTACTTGGTACCAGCCTATAGTGAGCAAAACAAGATGTCTGACAGAAAATGTCTGGATTATAAGTACTTAACTATGTATTATCTCTAATATTATCTACTCACTATCATTTATGTAAAAGATTAAAAAATAGAACCATATTTTTATGTTCGAGAAAGTTCGGCTTGCATGTTGACTAGTAGACAGTAGCTGCTGGTGACTGGTTGGTATAACAATAATAAAAAGACTGTAGTGTGGAGTGAATAAGTATTTTATCACGAGCAACTATCGTTACAAGATGCAATTACAAGGCAGAGCATTGTTATATTGTTGCCATGTACAAATTTACATTGGTACGAGCAAATTTTTTTTTTTATTTATTCATGAAAAAGTGAAACAAGTTGTCGTGGTACGACCTAATATTTGCACTTATTGCCATATATGAAAACGAAGATTGACGTTAGTTTCTAACATTTATGAAGTATGATAAATATTTTTTTACCACATTATGATAAGTAAAACGGTCTTCTGAAAAATAAGAAATATTTCCAATGCCTAAATTAAGGTCATATACTTATTTAAGATTTCCACTCTACAAAGGACCTTATTACTCGAAATTCATTGTAAATATTTTTTTTCATTATTTCTTTCATATTTCTCTTTTTTTCTTTTTTTCTAGATGGTGGAGCTGACCCTAAATCTCCAGTGGGGACTGCAGCCTCGTTCTCAAAAGCCAACAAATATGCGCTAAAATTGGCTAACACTTCGCTCTTCTTTGAATTTGCAACCAATGAACTTCTCAACACTATTCATGGCGGGTAAGAAAGTTAATTTTGCAGTGTTAAACTATTTTGAAATTGAACCTTATTTCAATATGTTTTAAGATACACAATTTTCATTCATTTTATATAATTGATCTCGTTCTCTTTACAAGCTACGTATGTAGTTTCATACTAAATAGTGCATTTAATAGATTATTTATTCGATTGATTTAAAACATAATAACCAAAAATGATTAACTGTTTCCATTTATTTGACATTATGACATCATCAATATTCACTCTACCTATCGATGTTATAATTTTAGAATTAATAAAATAAACCTTAATTAATGTTACAGAAACCGTCGTCGCAAACGGCAAGTCTTCGACGACTCTCTCAGTTTCGCAACTGCGAATGACTTTGCAGATTCCTTACAATCTGTGGACGTCAGTGGGTTCATTGGCAAGGACCAGTTGGGGCCGACCATCGAACCAGGCTGCGACGACCAAGGACCCTGCAATCCTGACAGTCCCTTCAGAACATATACTGGTCACTGCAATAACCTTAGAAACCCAAACCTGGGGAAGAGTTTAACTACTTTTGCGAGATTGCTGCCTCCTGTTTATGAAGATGGTAAGAACAATGTCCCAACGAAGATAAATTTTTTACCCTTTTTTTGTGAAAGTTTATTTTCAATATTAAAGGGTTAATGTTAACACTCTGCTATTATTTACAATATATTTGTGTTTATGATGCCATTAGCCCATTCATATTACTTGATTTCTGCAAAGAGTCGCAAGTAGATAGCTTATCAAAAAGAAAATTCCATCAATTTTGTCATTGGATACATGATATTTCGCAACTAAAATCAGAACTAACAGAAATTCAGATAGAGCATTTTGTTTCCTTTTTAAAAAAGACCGCAGCCAAGCTTTTGTAATTTAATTTTCAAACTGAACAAAGATGGCAGTTATTCGGGTATGTGTCATCTATCTCACGATGACACATACTTATTTAATGATACATATCTTCCAAATACAAAAAAGACTTTGCATAATATATTGGAAACCTTTTCCTCGACTATTAATACTGCTTCCAAGAAATTATTATTTGTAAATAATAATATACAATGGTCTGAGTGAAATAGCAATGAAATTTCTGTGTTCTATGGTTATGGTACGAAATTCTAAGACTTCATGTTGCAAGGATTGGTAACGCACGAGTGATAACACTTACTCTGTATGCCACTTGCCGACCTTTTTCTGACGGTCCACCTGATAAAAAGTGGTAACCGTCGCCTATAGACATGAACAGTACCATGGACATAACAGGTTGTTGCCATTCCTGAGGACTCAAGTGTTACTCTGTACCCAGTAAATTCACGCCATATCCCACCCTTCAAACCGAAACACAGCCATGCAAACAGAACTGCTTCACGGTAGAAATACGAATGGGACAGAGGTACCCAAGCAATCGACTTTTGTACAAAGTCTCCCTCTGGTTTTTGCTTAATAGCTAATCTTATGACTTAGAAAATTCAGAACTTGCTAACATAATATAATGGATTACAATTAGATAAATATGTAAATCTATCCAGGCGTTAGCCGGCCCCGTATCAACTCGGTAACTGGCACACCGCTTCCATCTCCGCGCATTGTGTCCACTGTGATCCATCCGGATATCTCGAACCTGCATACTCGATACACTCTTATGGTGATGCAGTTTGCACAATTCTTAGACCATGAGCTCACCATGACGCCCATTCACAAAGGTAATTTGATTAATTTGAATTTTATTTTATTTAATTAATTTAAATTATTAATATGATTAAATAATTATTAAATTAAATAATTAAATTTAATTAATTTCTATATATATATATATATATATATATATATATATATATATATATATATATATATATATATATATATATATATATATATATATATATATATATATATATTTAGCTAACTGATAATATAGGTATATCCATCCTTGAGTTTGAGTTTAAGGATTGACATAAGTTACCCTCATAAGTTATTTAATCATTTTAAATGCTTATAAGGGATAGGTATAAGCACAAAATGTAGAAATATAAATATAAAAAACGAATATTAATTTATTTGATCGAAATAATAAATATGTACAGCACAATTACTAAGTTATTAAAGATAATGGTAGAAGAAACTAAATCATCTAGTTCCTTCCACTACCTATTTGTTTTGATTCGAAAAGAAATAATGCACTGAATAATCTCACCTTTCAAGTTAAAATAGCAATATACGCATTGATTTTTAATGGCAAAAATAGAGTAGGTAATATTTTCCTTGGTGAATTACATACAACTATCACCTTGGGTGACTATACTCATAATCTTGTTCATGTAAAGACTTTTTAGCAAGCGCCACGAAGTAGCTTATCTTTAAACTAAGAAAGTCATTGTAAACTTGGCATTTACTTGATAATTTCTAAAACTAAACTGGTTCAACTTATAAAATACCAGCTGTCTAATATTTATCAGGTTTCCACGAGTCAATCCCAGACTGCCGCTCGTGCGACTCTCCCAGGACAGTGCATCCAGAGTGTAACCCGTTCCCGGTACCGAGAGGAGACCACTACTACCCCGAGGTCAATGTGACCTCTGGGGAGAGACTCTGCTTCCCATTCATGAGAAGTTTACCTGGACAGCAACAACTCGGTTAGTGCCAAATGTCATATCTTCGTAAACCTTTTTAAACGACTTTAAAAAGAAGATATTTCTCAACTCAACGTTACTTTTATACTTATTTATGTATGGATTTATTTAAGTATGTATTAGTAACTTAAAATATACATTATTATATACACACTGTTGTACGTCTGTATGTATTTAAAAAACGAACAGAGATTTGTCTCTCCAGTCAAACTGTTTATAGTTAATCTTCTCCATCCAAAAGTTGCCTGGAAAAGATCACTCTTAGCGATATAGCCGCCCATTTTTTTCTTAGTGTAATATTTTCTTTAATTGTTTTTATTTATAATAAGTTTTTTATTGTAATCTTTTGGAGGAAACAATAAAGAGTATCTATCTAGCTATCTATGTTTTCAATATCGCTGTAAACTTTGAACCATTCTGAAAACTCTTTTTACGATCAATAGTTTACATTATTATTATGGTATCTAATAATGAATAGCTCTAGACCATATTAAATATGTAACTAGTAACGCCAATGATAAAATCTACGTCGTTTCCAGGACCTCGAGAACAAGTGAACCAGAACACGGCATTCATCGATGCGTCAGTGGTATACGGCGAGAACCCGTGCATCGTGCGGACGCTGCGAGGATTCAACGGCCGCATGAACGCCACCGAGCACCCGATCAACGGGAAGCACCTGCTGCCTAGGTCGAGCCATCCCGAGTGCAAGTCGAATAGTGGACTCTGCTTTATTGCTGGTAATATTTTAATCACATAACTAATGTCAATAGCAAATAGAAGTTAATACTAGATACTTTCAGAAATAACTCGATCCACACCTGAGTAGTTACTAATAATGCCAGACAGGCATATAGACAGACATAGATGCCTCGACGAAATCTATTGGTTAAAGCACTGATTCTAGTATAAATATTTTCGATCACACCAATTTACATTACATAACATTATATTAAAGTTTCATAATTTAAAGATTTTTATTGTTTTATTTTTATGAGATGAAAATGGAATGTTAGCTCTATCTACGCTATTTGTATACGCTGATGAATTTGTAGTGAATAGTGATAGGTGAAATCAGATTAGTTGACATATCCTAATAAATTCACCATATATTAACTATGAATGTTTCATGGTGTCTGCGTGGAAATCGAACTAACAAGATATACCGCTAGCAATGAAGCCGTTGGATATCGTTATTAACAAATCCCTTCCTCTCTATCTATGTTGGTTACCACTCTCCATCAGGTCTGTCAGTTATTTACTTTACCAGAGGGAGACTTTGTACAAAAGTCAATTGCTTGGGTATCTCTGTCCCATTCATGTTTCAACCATAAAGCAGTTGTATTTGCATGGCTGTGTTTCAGTTTGAAGGGTGGGATATGGCGTGATTTTACTGGGTACGGGGGAATAACACCTGAGTCCTCAGGAATAGCTACACATGGGGGGTATCATGGGCGAAATAGTATACTCTGTTATGTCCATGGTACTGCTCATGTCTATAGGCGACGGTTACTACTTTCCATCAGGTGGGCCGTCAGCTTGTTTGCCATTCTAAGTTGTATAAAAAAAAATTTCATTGTATGCAAATATAAACCACATGTTAGGTGACGGACGAGCATCCGAGCAACCAGGACTCACAGCCATCCAGACGGTATTCATGCGAGAACACAACCGGCTAGTGGAAGGTCTTCGCGGAGTCAACCCTCACTGGGATGCTGATCTGTTGTTCGAGCACGCGCGCCGCATCCTCGCTGCTGAGTTCACGCATATCATATACAACGAGTTCCTGCCTAGGTTACTCTCGTGGAACGCAGTCAATCTTTATGGATTGAAACTACTACCTTCAGGTGAGATACTATAGTTAAACTTTCTAGTTTTCTCCAGAATGTAATTGATTAATGTAGATTGCATCATGAACACAAAACTGAAGCCAGTAAATTTGAACTCTTTTTCATTTGGGTTTCAAGTTGTTTTCCATTCAAAGTAGCTAAGGATAGCTAACGATAAAAATAATTGATAAAAAAAACCGAACTATCTACCATGCAGCTACACTGAACAAAGAAGTTTCCTAAGATTTAATTTAGTGGCATCAATTCTAAATTTCTGTTGTGGTCTTTATTTGGATTTTATTAGTTTCTTGGTTAAATTAAGATTTATATTTTCGTGAAATAAAATGTTTGTGACTTCATTCCATTAGTATCTACATGGACATGTTTAATCGCATATGTTTTTAAAATATTTTAAATTGAATTGGAAGCACTCAACTTTATTTCATCCTTTCAATACTCAGCGATCTGTTGCAATATTTCTGGTTCCTATAGTATAAGTTCTATTAATGCACATCTAATTCTAGTCCTTAATTAGTCTTAACACAAATAATATAATACTAGGAAATTATTAATACTCTTATTTTAGCTAGATAACGCTTATATGTCCTTTTCTTCTTAGGTTATTACAAAGAGTACTCTCCAACCTGCAACCCTGCTATCGTGACGGAGTTCGCGTCTGCTGCCTTCAGGATTGGTCACTCGCTATTGAGACCACACTTGCCACGTCTCTCGCCCACGTACCAACCAGTAGACCCACCAATACTACTCAGAGATGGATTCTTCAAAACTGACATGTTTATGGCGGTAAGTATATGAGGATGAGGCTTTGGTGGGATAGTTAATTATAATTCTTTTGTTGAACCAATGATATGTACTTCCACAAGATAACACCTTTTTCAGAAAAATACTTCCAGTAGATTCTATCAAGACAATGACAGAATTAATTAAAGAACATAAAATTGAGAATTTAATGTTTTACCATACAAATACTACAAACAAGGCTAATCCGTAGAAATATAAAGGCAAAACGTAGAATACCCAAAGTCAGAACAATTTAATATTTTTTTTTTAAATCGGCATAACCAAGTATCGAGTCAAGAGCACATTTATGCGACCATAAATCTACAAAGATAGTAAAGAAATAGTTAAATGTACACATATTCTTATTGTTAAAAGTTTTGTAAAAAGGACTCATTATATTTTAATAGAATAACAACCGGTTTAACTTACGTGTAATTAGATCGAGAAAGCTGGACTAGTTTTGGGATCAATTCATTATCTTTATTCATGAGCGGCTGTGACGCGAGCGCGAGCCTGGCTGTGCGCTTCGTATCTTTCTTCTCTGTAATAGTGCCGCAAGCGCTTACAACTCGCAATCAGCGGGCCGAACTAGTCGAACTTTCTCGATCTAATTACACGTAAGTTAAACCGGTAGTTATTACATTAAAATATGTATTCTAATAATTTTCTCAGCATCCAGCTATGATCGATGAACTAATCCGCGGCTTATCATCGACACCCATGGAAACACTTGACCAATTTATCACCGGTGAAGTCACCAACCATCTCTTCGAAGACCGCCGTATCCCATTCTCAGGAGTCGACCTGATTGCATTGAACGTGCAAAGAGCAAGAGACCATGGCATACCGAGCTATAACAACTACAGAGCTCTTTGTAATCTGAAGAGGGCAGCCACATTTGAGGATCTGTCAAGAGAAATTCCTGATGAAGTAATCGCAAGGTTAGCAAAGCATTTCCTTGTCAAATTGTTCAGTTTCCTTCTTTTCTTTTACAAAGTGATCTCATACAGATATAGGTTTGTTATGGTAGATGTTCCATTGTATTAATACCAGTCAACTATGCTTTCATAATTGTGTTTTGCAGAAATTTGGTTTTATTAAATTAGTTCGAAAAAATAAATATGCTTTGTTTGGAATAGAGGTATATCATATTTGTCCTCAAGAATGAAAATACGTGAAATACCCCCTCAGTGAATTATGTTCATGATATTATAATTCATATCTATAGACGACGATATCACTTACTATTAAATATGCTGGCAACTTGTCATTCGTAGATGAATTATCACCAAATGATCATCAGACCCACCTAATGAAAAGGAAAATGTTTACCATAAGTAGGCAATGATCACCTTCCTTGAGTTTCGGACGCTTTCCGTTCCTTGACTTTACAATTTCTTTTATTAACAATTCCAGATTAAAGAGGATATACCCGACTGTAGACGACATTGATCTGTTCCCCGGCGGTATGAGCGAGCGACCGCTGCAGGGCGGTCTCGTCGGGCCCACGTTCGCTTGCATCATCGCCATACAGTTCAGGCAGCTGAGGAAATGCGACAGATTTTGGTAACATATTTTTTTTATCGGCATTATAGCTGATATAAATGAGAATCATAACTGGATGAAGCAAGAGAAATCAATTAAAAATTGTATATATTTTACTAAGAGAACAAAATATAAACACGAATAAAACTAATGCTTTTAATAGATAATCAAAAGCGAATTATAATGACCTTGACCTTAATTAAGATAATAATAACTGCCACACAATAATAACAATTGCCTGCTCCCTTAACTTTGATATATATTATGAAGAACCAGGCAAACTATACAAATTTTTACCTTAATTGTATTCAAGAATTTTCAATATTATTTCCTTGTAGATGTTAAGGACCATACAGTTAGGTATAAAAGTTTTTACAATGTTTTTATATTTTACAATATATTTTTTTACAGGTATGAAAATGACAATCCTGCGGCCAGATTTACGGAGCACCAGTTGGCAGAAATCAGAAAGACCACGCTCTCCAAATTGATCTGTGATAACTTCGACGAAGAAAGTGACATACAACGAGCTGCATTTGACTTACCCAGTGACTTGTTAGTACAATCCACTGTTTAGTATTGAAATTTGCTTTTATAAAGGGCTCAGTCTGGATCCAGCTTCGCATGTATAAAGTTTTTTTTTTTATATAATATATGTTATTCACAGATAATGTAACTTTCTATAGAAGAAAGAATCTTTAAAATCGGCTTAGTAGTTTTTGACTTTATCCATTATAATCAAACAAACAAATCTCCTCTTTCTAATATTAATATATAAATATAGAATAATAATAAATAACTCGACTAATAATAAATACTCCTATTATTTCCTACGAGGAGTATAAGGACTAGATAGCGCTGTATGATATCTTTTTTTTGTTTTTTTTTTTATTCATTTTAATGAAATTTTGATTAACCGATTTTAATGAACTTTATAAACAGATATCATAGGGGGGAAAAGGGATTGTTAGTGATGGAGACTGAGAATCCCATTGCTAGCAATGTACCCAACCAGGTCGCCCTCCTCGCGGTTCCCCCTGGAAACTATCATGGTTAATTCCTGATGAATTCATGATGATGGGCTAATGACCTTTTTCATTCTCATCTATCACCCTTCACTAAATTAGAGATCTTCTGCCTAAGTACCCTTGTCACGTATACAAAAACCGGGACGGGGCACTAGTACAGGATAAATATTACTCCTATTCATCATAACTTGCAGCAACCCCCGAGTGCCGTGTGCATCATTACCCAAGTTGGACCTGTCAGCGTGGCGCGAGAGCTCCGCTCAAGGCTGCCTCATCGCTGGCCGCTCGGTTGCCGTAGGGGACTCCGCCTTCCCATCGCCTTGCACTTCCTGTATATGCACCGTTGAGGGAGTAAGTTATCACTACAACTATGTCTTTTTCTTTTGGTATTTTTTTATAATATGTAAAATGTACAAGAAAATTTTTTTTAGTTTATTTTCTTCAATCTACCATTTAAGATTACTTACACTTTACAAATCTCTATTTTTGGATTAATTATCACTAATATTAGTATGGGTACCATGGGAGTCACTGTGTGTCCTGCCATGTCCACAGTACTATTCATGATTGTAGGCAAGAGTTGATACTCATGATTCACTTTTTGTCAAGTGGACCATGAGTTTGATTACTTTTTACACTACTATGGTATTAAACAAACAGACGGACAACCTATATGGTAAACGATTACCGCGGTTAGTAAAGGCTTCCAATACTAAATACCCTTCAGAAACCTTATTACGCCATTTTTAAAGAACCCCATACTGTAGTCTCTGAAGAACACATTTCAAATTTCAAAAATTTTTTTTTATGCAACTTAGAATGGCAAACAAGCTGACGGCCCACCTGATGGAAAGTGGTAACCGTCGCCTATAGACATGAGCAATACCATGGACATAACAGAGTGTACTGTTTCGCCCATGATACCCCCCATGCGTTGACATTCCTGAGGACTCAAGTGTTATCCCTCTGTACCCTGTAAATTCACGCCATATCCCACCCTTCAAACCGAAACACAGCCATGCAAACACAACTGCTTCACGGTAGAAACACGAATGGGACAGAGGTACCCGAGCAATCGACTTTTGTACAAAGTCTCCCTCTGTAATATGTATATCGTGTTGCGCAGGCGCAGTGCGCATCTCTCCGCATCACGGACTGCGCGCAGCTGCTGCGTGAGTGGCCGCGGGAGGCCGTGCTGCGTGACGACGTGTGCGCGGCGCAGTGCGGCGCGGCGGCTGCCCGGGCGCCGCCCTCGCTGCACCCGCCGCCGCCGCCGCCGCCGCCGCACGCGCGCAGCCCGCGGCGACCCTCCCTCAACTTCAAATTTCCTGACCTCACACCTTTCGTAGCAAAATGAGCCCACCCAACACTTGGTGAAGGCGTTCGAAATCGTGCAATAAGAGTAAGCATATAACGATGTGCCTATTCGTATTGTGTTAGTGTTGCCAACTCTCAAACAAAATTTATAAATTCCTAAATAAATAATATAAGCAATGAAATGTAAATAGAGTTGGCAACTGTCAAATTAAAAACGACAAAAATACAATGTTTTCAAATAAACATTTAAATCGGTTAAATGTGAATGGGGTTGGCACCTACCGTATTATATAATTCAGATAAACGTTTAAGTTGATAAGATTTAAATAGGATTGAAAAATGTAAATATAATTGAAATTAAATGTCTGTATTTATGTTTATTCATGTTATATGTAAATTACATCAATAACAATGACATGTGACTATAACTATGTGTTATGCGCCATCTATCTTTAGCTTTCACTAGCTAATCCCATTGTGAGAAATTACCATTATAAACTCACGAGGTTCCATATTGAAATAAGACTATTCAACTAATCCGAAAAGATGTTACTCTAGTAAGATCGATCGGAATATCTACTGATTTAGTATTATTTTGATTAATTTCGCCACTACTTATTAAAATGACCCATCTTTACTATTGGTGGCAGAACTAAATAAAATAATTATTAAACTATAAATAATTATTACCCTATTTATATTAATATAATACATTCACAAATTAAATACGATGAAATTGTAACATAACAATGAACCAACCAAAATTCTTATTAATTGTTAATATATGACACCCATAATTGCATAAATTCATTGTTTGTTTTTAAAAAAAATATCCATTATAGACTAGGTTGAGTGACAACGAATTTAGCACCATAGTTTATGAATGTATAGCGAATATTGATAGCCAATTTGTGTCTATATACCTACAGTACAGATCACCAAAATAGATAAAACTAGTCCTAAAGGTGCGTTTAGGTTACGGTGCTAAATATTTGTAAGTACAAAATTTTAATATACCAAACGCACCGCAATTAAGGTCATAGTTTTATATCTGGTTTCTGAGAAGCTCTTTCAATATCTTTAACATCATAATGTACAGTCATAAATGTAGTGTTTAGTCATCGTTTAATACAATTTTAGTTGGATAATTAAGAGATTATTTTTGTATGTTAAGTGAATAGGAACGAAATGTTTTATTTATAAAATGTCCCCGGTTACCAAAAATTATAACTGCATTCGATCTGCCTATAATCTACGATGTAGTATCTACCTGTATTATAATAAATATTAACAGATATGTCCAAATAACTTTAATTAGAAATATTTCATAGCGTAGTATCAGTAATTAGTTGTATATGTAATTATGTAAGTATTGTAATAATTGGGAACATTGATTTCTCTGAAAGAAATATAGAAGCCTACCACTCTTGCAATAATTGACAAACTCAATTATTTTAAAATTAAAATTTCAAGTCAATTATTTTATTGCGACACGGTTCTACAGAGAATCTGAAATTTATATTTTATACTCACAGAATTTTTCATATTTTTTTTTGTATTTCAAGAAAAAAAACAATACCTATAATAACGAGAATATTCGTTAATTATATTAAGTATAGTATGTACATTAGTGAATATGAAGATTGGTGTATTTTTTAATAATGTACAGTACAAAAATAGCTCGCTGTACTCTTTTAAATTGCATTACTATTCCGCTATTGGAACAGTAGTGATTTCGTATGTATAATTTTATACTCTTTAAATTTTAATTTTACGTAAGCATTTATGGCCATCTTTAGCTTTAATTGAGAATATGAAATGTATTAGGACACAAGTAACAAGATACTGTACATCACAAAACCAATATCTAAGGATTTGTTGTCAAATAACCGAACCAATTTTGCGACATAGATGTATTATAAGTATCAACCGTGAATATATTATAAAGTGTTACCATTTAATCCTAATATTCAAATGTTAATCTTAATCTTGCAAAGAATATTTTGTGTCTCACTGCCTAGTTTTTATATCTAGAAAGCTGTATAAATTATTTTTAATATATTGACATAATGACACATATTTACAGATAAACTGCATTCAAATGTTAAGAAGTTGCATTATTTACTGTTTTTACATAAAATTTAAATACTATTATTCTATTTATATAAATAATTCTAAAATTTAAACAAAAGACGATCGATTATCATACATTTTTTTTTTTTATTTTGATTATATATTTTATACGAGTAACAATAGCACTAAAAAGGTTATAATGTTAAATAATTCTATGGTATTAATAAATTCCAAACAGTTGTTGCAAAAAAACAAATATATTAAATTAACAAAGCTGTACACAGCAATGGAAAATGCTGCTTGGTTCATTAACGGATGATACACTATTGTTAAAATAAATATATTTTTTTTATAATTCGACTGTCTAAGGTTATCACTTATATTTCAATGGGACTCAATTCTTTAGCAAAAAGCAGTAAAAATGCAGATTGTCTGTATTATGTCAAATATGTTAGTTTTTATGTGAAGTATTGACAAATCTCACCTAGTGACAATTTCTATAAAATTATTTTTATCGACAAGTTGTTTAATTTAATTCTTCAAAGTAGAAATAGGAGCTATTAGCACTTGGTTCCAAGTGCATGGTATTATAATATCTATGCGACTATGTATCTTGCGTATTCCCTAAAGTGAAAATAAAACAATAAAAAATAACATTCCATAAAATGAAAAACTAGAATATTTACAAATCACTTTATTTTGTTGCATATCAAGTCTATTTCGTTCCTTTTTACAATAAATACATTGCATTTGAGTATAAAAATTAGTGTTGCAAAAAAAATAAACAACACAAACACAGTTTGACAATTGTTGAATACTTAAGTCTTGATTTGGCTACCCCCTTTGTAAAGTTTGTTAGACACATTTCACGGTGACAACAGCCGCAGCCGTGGTTTTACCACGAAGTGTTCAATTTTGATTGCACTCACATTGTTCTGCATTGTCCTGTAACAACAACACATCCTCTAATCAGTATAAAAATATATCAAGATATATATGACATTTAGAGGTTATGAGAAAGCTTTTTATTTGATATAGAAGGGTCTTAGACAGAATATCAATTTATACTATTTGTAAGCGTTACAGTTGTTGTATGTGTAAGGGTATTTGCAAGCGTAACAGTAAGGCTGCCAAATATATTCAAATAATCTAGTATATGCACAAGTACACATGCAAAACACATTTTTAATAGCACTGTATAAATAAATACCAAAATTTATAACATAAAAAAAAAAACAAATGGGCAGTTTTATATTTTACTATCGGCCCGCCCCGACTTCGCGCGGATACACATTACATCACATCACATTAGAAACTTCTAAAGTTTCTCTACAATATTATGCATGTATATAAACCTTCCTCTTGAATCACTTTATCTATTAAAAAAAACCGCTTCAAAATCCGTTGCGTAGTTTTAAAGATTTAAGCATACATAGGGACGGACAGACAACGACAGCGACTTCGTACTATGTAGTGATGATTGTAGAATGGTACAATGCTATCGTCATAATCTTCTCATTCAAGTACAATATTATCAATATAATGGTAATGTCGACGAAAATTTAAAAGTAGCTTACAATGCATAAATTTACTTTTCCTATTACCAAGTGACAATAAAATTGAAACTCTATTTCAACATCATTAAGATGGTACTTAGAATAATTGTGCATTTGACAATCAAAGGTCGAAGGCGGTATACCTGTTCATCACAAGCGACGTGTCAGTTAGCGGCGACCTCCTTGAACCCGTTAGCGATAGGCGGATGGTCACTGGAGCGGCGCCACAGACCGTACACGCGGCCAGGTACAGCCTGCCACAGACGCACTGTGCCGTCCTCGGAGCCCGTTGCATATAATTCACCGTCAGGTGACCATCGCACGCAGTGTACCGGACCGAAGTGTCCTTTGTTTGATTCTAAAACGTGTTTATTATAAATAAATTAAAATTTGTGACACAAAAAAATATTTCAGTGGTGACAAAATTTGCATGAGACTAACACTAATTCATATCAGTGTTACTATCATGTTAATAACACTATTAATTGCAAAGGCAATTATAATTTATTTGGATAATAATTTATATTTTTATTTGCTTAATGGATGCTTATGTTTTGCGCTGTGGATAACTATAATTGGCTAGCATGTAGTAAATGTAATGTAAATATGTATTCAATTTTTTAAAAAGCTGTTGTTATCCCAAATAAAATAAATAAATAAATAAAAATGCATTCAAATCCTCCAAGCGAATTAATACACTACAAACAATTTGAAATAAAAGTCAACAGCACCAAAATCCTCCTCCATTCACTTAAAAATATGAGAATAACAATTGATTTAATGAATACACCTGGGCCAGTGCTCTTACCAAAAAAGCTATCATTTCCTCAAACATCTAGTTTGAAACGGTAACATTATTCTTTATATATAAACAGGACCAATTTTTGTGAAAGCGTATTTGGATGACCAAATGTAAGTTTTATATTTATTTTTCCTAGCCTGAATTGTTTCCATTGATTTAAAAAAGGAATATGTGTTATATTACCCCACCATATTACGACACCATACCACCCAATATTAATTATAGAAAGAAATCTATGTAATTGAAAAGGTTCGTCGCATTTCAATTATTTGTCTTTGTTAGATACAAAATAAAATTAAACATAAGTTTATTAATAACTAGCTTCTTGCCCGCAACTTAGTACGCGCGAATTTCAGAAATAAGAAATCCAATTAATAGACCATTTCTAGTTGGCGTATCAAGATAAAACATACACTCGATGTTAATTTAGACCTTCAGGAACACAAATGAAAAAATGGCATCCAATTTAGTGCAGTAGTTTGACACCAGAATAAACATACATAAAAAAAAAAAACAAAATTCCTAAAAAATATTGTTTTGGCATCTATTAGTTTTATTAAGACCCTTAATATTATAGCTAGTTCCAATTTTATTGTATTAGTATGATATTGTCATCTCTATACAGTGATAAATGATTACAAGGTTCCCCTTTATCACAACAACATTAGATACATTACAGATTAATTATTTACAATCTTCTAATGACATCATTCATCTACTTCGCTAAAATGATCATAATGATGACTCTTTGGATTTAGTGATCATGTTATAATACAAACTTACCAAGTTCTGTTCCTGTATTGTAATCAAACTTATAAACTTTGAGATCCTCTCCACCACATACAAATGTAGCCCGACTTGGGGCCAGCGACGCTGAGTAACACTTCGTAGGCACAGGAAACTCGCGCATCTTACGCATTGTGTCAGACGAATAAAAGGATACGTCGGTTCCTGAAACATTTTACATACATCATTAGTTACACTCCAATTAACTGAAATAAGTCGAAAAAAAATCAAAGGGAGTCATCAGCAGGAATACCTCTATCTTACTTATAATATTGCCGCCAATCTGTTGTGCACCCACGATTGTTAGTAACATATAGTAGTGAAACTACTAGATACAGAGGCATAATAGATTACTATATCCTCAAAAATAGTAACAAAATTATAAAGGGTGTAATGAACATCATAATATATTTTGTGATATCCATGGAGTTATTTACGTCTGTTAACATTTTTTATCAAATACACCATCAGCTTGTTTGCAATTCTATGGAATATAAAAAAAGGTAAAATAAATTTACCGTGTGCCACTGTCAAAATAGCACCATCTCTTGACAATTCTAAACTATTCGGAATGGTCGGAAATTCGATTTTGTGCACCTCCTGAAATGAAGATAATTTTTATTAATATTTAATACTATACGAGGTCTGTCCGGAAAGTTCGTATAAAAGTGTTCTGGAATGCGAGAAAGAGGAGTGGGGAGGCCAGGTAAGCGCAGGACCCCTTCCTTATGTCCCTAACAATGCTTCAGTTCTGGTCTGACCGCCGTGCGGTGCGAACTGGCTTGTCACGCCATCTGTGAAGTTACCTCTTAACGAAACCCCGTCGGCATGGAACCCGCTTCCGTTGAAGAGCAGCGCGTCGTAATCAAGTTTCTCTCGAAACTCGGCAAGAATGGCCGTGAAATTTTTGCCGATCTCAGAACAGTTTATGAGGATGATGCTGTGAAGGAACCAACCGTCCACAAGTGGCTAAAAAGATTCAGAGAGGGCCGAGACAATGTTGATTGTTTTTTTCGATGTTCGGGGGATTGTCCATCAAGAATTCGTCCCTCCAGGCCAGACAGTTGATGGAAAATTCTACGTCGATGTGCTCAGACGCCTCAAAGCTCGTGTGGCACGAGTTCGTCCAGAATTGGCGCGAGAGGGGCGTTGGATTCTTCACCACGACAATGCCCCTGCCCACACCTCTCTTGTTGTCCGTGAGTTTTTGAGTAAAAATTCCATTACGGTGACCGAACACCCCCCTATTCGCCGGATTTGGCCCCGTGTGACTTCTTCTTGTTCCCAAAAACCAAATTGGTACTTCGGGGGCGGCATTTGGGGGACATAAATGAGATAAAAAAAGCTACGACGGGGCAGCTGAGAAACCTACAACCAGAGGACTTTCAAGGAGCCTTCTCACAGTGGAAACGGCGTTGGCACAAGTGCATTATGTCACAGGGGGAGTACTTTGAAGGGGATAAAATTGATTTACCTGAATAATTGTAAAATAAAATTTTTAAAAAACTTTTATACGTACTTTCCGGACAAACCTCGTACAAATAGTAGCAATCTTAAACACGTTGGGGGGAAAGGGATTGTTAGCAATGGAGTTTAACAGCTGCATTGCTAACAATATGCCATATCAGGTTGATCTCCACGTGGTTCCCCCTGGAAACCATCGTGAACAATTCTTGTTGAATTCGTCACGATGGGCTAACTGACCTACTTCATCCTCATCTATCATCCTTCACTGTATACTGATAGCGCGGGCGGGGTTACTATATCATTATCACCCATAAAAAATAATCTTAAGCACGTTTATACAACCCTGATTTATGGATACATTACAACAACAACCAGAAGTCACATATTTCTTATTTATTTATCATTAGGTATTGATTGCAAATACAATACACAAGGATAGTGAACAGTATATTAAAAATATGTTGAAGGTATAAAATACAGGATATATTTCAATACCCGTGTACAGTAAAGGTCATGCGGCAAGTCGTGACGGAAGTTAAAGCTCTCTTAAAAGTATACCACCCAATGAGCTTTAAATATAAGTATGATACAATTTGACAATTCGTATAAGGCATATTCGCAGAGTTGCTTTTACATAAATTTAAAGCTAAATTGAAAAAAGAATTATGAAAACACGTAATTCTTCTGTTAAGAGAAAAAAAGAAAGAACGAAAGAAAGGAAAAGAACTAAGACAAAATAAAGTATTCCACAGAACATATGTGATAACTCAAAAAAATATATATTATCATGAATTTATTTTGTCTAATTCTTCTAAATTCATAAATATAAAATAATTATAAATATAAAGAAAATAGAGAAAGTGTTAATATAATTTATTACCTGTCCACTTGTTCGATCCCAAACACGCATTGTGAGATCATCGCTGACACTGACGATCCGCGAATTGTGTAAAAATACAGCGTGCCTGATGCTGCTTGTGTGGGCATTTATTTTTTCCAATGCTGAAAATATGGGATCCATTTACTAAATAAAGAATTTCATTTAATTCTGAAATTTTATTACAAAAAAATCACACCTAGCCCCAAATATAATCTAAATATTAAAGTTGTATGCATGCATAGAATTTTTACAGAGCTGCAAATAAAATACTTTTATTTTTACACAATAATAAAGGTTTAATTTTGCATTTACATTGCAGGAGTCAATGGATGCAGATGGACCGTTTTTTATGGCAGTCTATAGGAGATGCTTATGTCCAGCAGTGGACGAATAATTGCTGAAATAATGATGATGAAAGGTTATCCAGCATACTACCTCGTCTATGTGATAATAACTATCGCTTGTATCGTTTTACTGAAATTTTTGTATTATTGACAGTACTATTTAATATACTTTTGAAATAAAATCACAAATGCAGGATACTATAATCCTATTGGGAATAGTCATAGGCAAAAGTTATCAGTATTGTTATTCATATTTTATCCAAAATAATTTTTGTCCTTATACTTAATACTGTGTTTTGAAATAGATAAAATATGTATTTAAAAATATCTTTAGTTACAACAAAGCTAAGGCTCAAATACAATTTAATCCTCAATCACAGGTTTAACTGTATTTCTATAAATATAAATGTATAGTAGATCCTTTTTTTTATATGTTTATTTCAAAATCCAACAAGAGTTATAATCTATCTATCTTATTTATAGTATAAAGTTTGATTTATAGATGTAATTAATATGTACTTTTAAACAAGCTCCTTCTCAACTTACACGTGACTTATTGAATTAAAAATTATTCTTTTGCACTGGTAATTATGAACAACAATTCACTCCATTACTTAACTATAATTTAAATATGTCATTGTACATGTATAATCATAATTATTTATGTCAAGGGCAAAATGACACACATATATATATGCACATGATATTATAAAGTTGGAAAGTTATTAACACAGTAACATTTAAGATCAAGTTATGTTTTAAACACCAAAACAATATAGGTGAAATGAGAACCTCGCATTCTCACCACTCATCATCAACAGGGAATTCATGCTCAAACACTAGAACACAAATGGTTGCATATGGTATGGTTTTAAGTGGAGTTTCTATCTGGAAATGCTCAGACTGTGGAATGAACTCCCAATGCCAAGATTTTGCCCTAGATACTACAGAATGAGGTTCTTTTAAAAAGACATATTAAGGTTTCTTTAGGGATGATTATGAGCATATGTATCCCTAATATTGCAGGATTCCATAGGTAATAGTAACTATTTACCATCAAACTGTATGCCTGTCTGCTGCCTTTGTGGTATAAAAAAATGAATTGCATTTAAAGCAATATTATGGTGATCCTTAATTATTTCTGCAATTAACTGCTATGGACTACTGTTTCATCAAAGATCTAGATATATTATGAATAAAAGTGAAAAAACATTACCCTGCTTTCATTGGCAGTCAGATAAAAATAGTAAAGTAATAAAGAAAATAACAGTAGATAGAAGATTACATATATTAACAAAGCAAAACACCTACAAACCTACCAACTTTCCATGTTTCAAATTAATGACAGGAATTGAAGTATAGCAACTCACGTCCAGCTTCCGGTTTGTTGAGGTCAAACACACGTATCAGTTTCTCATTACTGGCAGTCAGGAGCAGTGTATCATCTGCATTGAAATTCACACTTTTTACTATGTGCTCATGGTCAAATGTGTGAACCACGTCGCCATATCGCGCATCCCATAATTTTGCTGTAAATAAATCAATGTACAGTAGATGAAAAAATAACTTCAAATAAAAATAAGTGCTGACTATATAAAGATTATCATTTAACACCCCAGGTATTCAAATAACAATATATAACCCCAAAATAAAAACAGCACCCCTTGAGATCAATAACACTGTTCAGTATTAACATTGAAATTTTTCTACTACAGATTTATGATTTTTAAAACATTATCATTTGTATCATAAATAAATAAATAGATAAGAGTCAAATGAATGCATAAATGAAACCATTATTACAAGCAAGTTTATGAGTTATATTGTAGACACTATACATTGCTATCTCATTCTATCCATCCATGGATTTGTTTGCCACTGATCTTGAGAACTAAGGTATTGATGTTGATATAACCTGATTGAAATATTGAGATAGCAAAGATAAATGATGTTTTTAAGGAACTTGGCTTGACAAAACAAGTTATTAGCTCACCTGATGAAATTTGACAGAAAAAGTAAAGCAACCTTCAAATAAATAAAATAAAGTTTTTTTCTTTTCCCTGAAACTAAATAAATATTGCAATGTAATACTCACCAGAAAAATCAGCTGCCCCACTGGCAGCTAAATTAGCATTTTGTGTTAAAGCTACCCCCCACACGGCTCCTTTATGACCTTCAAAAGTTCCAATCCAATCACCAGTTTCTCCTTGCCGCAACATGGGCTTGCCATCTATATGTGGAAATAAAAAATATATTAATAATAAAGTATAATGATCGGCATGATTACATATATTAATTGTTCTCTGATTTAATTAATTGGATTATAAACACAGTGATTGTAACTGGAATTAAAAATAAATAACTCATGATCTAAGTTACTAATCTCACACACTCACATATGCAATCTCACAATCCCATTTTAATAAATTGTAATGAGCTAAGATTATTTATATTTTAAAAATCTTCAATGTTATATTAAGTTTGCTATTTTTCCTATTACAGTAGCTTTATTGTTTGGAAAACACATTAATATGATTCTGGAAATAAAAACCATAAAATCCAATTTCTGTCAAATTCTTTCAATCTAAGTTAATACAATCATGAATAAAATATTCTATTAAACAACCCCAATTAAAACAACACTATAGTTAAATAACTAATTAATAAATTACCTTAGTGTTATCTTCAAATAGAATATCAGATGATAGTCTTTTGTATTTATTCATATTCTAATAAACAATACATAGTCAATACACAAGTAATTGCATCATTATCACACTAGTACCTAGTACATTTTCCTCATTTATAGTCTCAATACAATAAAAGCAATTACAGGTTTTTTAACCTCCATATCTTTACATTAATGTCAAGTACTTTGTCAAACCTTGGGGGTGACCAAGGTGACCCAGAATGAGAGAAATGTCAACATGTAATAAAGAAACAATCTTTTAAGTCTGGTACAATTTTGTACACATACAAAGACACGGAACTTACATATCATGTCGCTGTGACATGCATAAAAAGCACGACATATCTACAAGGCAAGCAGCTGCCACGAGGAAACTCACGAGCGGATATTCAAGGTGCTTCCTGCATGTCCGGAAAGAGAAGGTCATAACATGCACAGAATGCAAGCCGGTGGGTTATTCGGTTCTCACAAATGAGAAAAGTGAAGGCCTCACATACATCTCGACGTTCAACATCTGTCACGAAAAACTCGTGCGGTACTCTCAAATATACTTGCGAGAATTGCTTAAACTTTTAGGTCGACATAAAAAGACATCCCAAAATCACATATTAAACATAAAAACTCACCTTTGCAAGCTGAAATCAAATAAAATCCATCTTTTGTAACGTCACTAAAATCCAAATGCACGACTGGTCTTGTATGGCCACCACATGTGAGAGGAACTTGTTTAAACGTAGTCATTTTGTTCAGGAAATTTTGTATATTGTACTTTTGGAAAATAAAACTAAATATCTTTGTAACTAAAATTAACCTAATGAGTCTGATCGTACTGAATGTTGACAATCGACTGACGGAAAAGTGCTCCTTAGTGTTGCTATATACGATAATTATATATGCGAAATTAATTTACCGACTCAAATCATAACATTAAATAATAAGATGATAATAATAAGATCTTAATATGATCGACCATGAAACAGTAATTTCGCAAAATTATCAAATTAAATTATTAGGTTCAATGATATGTTTAGAGAAAATGGCATTTCATAATTGACTTCAATTTACCCACAGACTTAGTATAATGTATAGAATTTAGTAGTACTACAAAACGGGGTGAATAATTACGAAATCGAAATTCACAATTTTTTTTTTTTTGCTATACAAGTTGCCATTTTTTACACATTCTAAGTATCTGTGTTTGTTTAAACGTTCTTAGGTTTAATTTAAACTATGCGATTAAATACAATTTAAAAAGTAGACAGTAGTTAATTATTTATAGCAAAATGCAGGATATCCCTATTCATACTAGATCCAGGATGACTTGGAACAGAAGCAAGGTGAATAGGGAACAGACGTAGAGTTGTAAAAATTTATTATATATATTCAGAATAATTGAATAAACTTTATTTAACAATACACATATAAAGGTTTTTAAATAATTAAATTTTTTTATAATCTTTTTTTATAGTCTTTTGTATAATCTGCCGTAGCGTATGTATGTATATGGTCTGTGCTAAAACCTTTCAAATTTTTATCGTTCCTCAAATTTCGTGCATTGTATGATTTTTTCAAATACATGATAATGCAATGATAACCCTGCCTGCGCTAACGGAATACGCTGGCGGGGCACCAGTGAGGAATGATAGATGGCAACGAAAAGGCAGGTCAGTTAGCCTATCGTGATGAATACACTTGGAATAGAACACAATAGTTTCCAGGGGGAATCGCGAGGAGGATCGACCTGACAGAGTGTATTGCTAACAATGGGGCTACTAATCCCCATTTTTAACAATCTATTATCCCTCTGCATTTTTGTTGCTAGGTCCAATCGCTGTGGTTAGCAGCGGAATCTCTGCCGGAAATTTCTTATCACTTCCGCCTCCGTGACCCCTACCATGACCAGGAATAGCGGACCCGCCGGGAACTGGGGGCCGCTTCTTTACGGTGCTTACCATTGGGGGGTTTTGGCAGTAATTGCCACGCTTGGCAGGCGGGTTAACAATAAATATTTACATTTTATCAATATCGAAAACCTAACTGTAGTATCATCACAACCCTATTTTTTTTTAATTTGAACATCATGCTGGCCAACATAACAAAAAAGGAGGAGTTTTTTCTGTGTAGATTGAATAGATATTCCTGACCAAGTCGTTTTAGGTGGCTTGTATGAAGTGCACTCTCTTCTTTTGGTTTTTGTACTCTGGTTTTATACTCTTTGATTGTCATAATTATTGTTGACGTTGTCAAAACGTGGTCAAAACCGATTAGCTTTCTATATTTGTATTAAAATTAGTTCTTTTTGTTTGTAATTAAAGCTATATTGTATTAATAAAATGGACTTCTTCACATCTATTCCAACTCATATTGACTACGTTGGCCAAGCTAAAGCAGAAAAATTATATAGAGCTATTATAACATTATTTAGTATTGTTGGCTTTATTTGGGGCTACATTGTTCAGCAATTTTCTCAATCTGTTTACATTCTTGGCGCTGGATTTCTCTTAGCAGCAATCTTAACTCTTCCACCGTGGCCAATGTATCGTCGGAATCCTCTGAATTGGCAAAATCCAAAGAATACAGACGAGAAACCATCGAGCAAGAAAGGCAAGAAATGAAAAAATGTATTTTAAAATCTTATTGTCTCAAATTAAAACTTAATTATTAAGCCTTCTTTTTTTTTTATTTAAATCGTAAGTAGCAGCCTCGTACCTGTGGTAACCTAATGGTGTAAATCATTAGCATATTTTCGTTAATAAAATTATTCATCTGTCCTTATAAATCATCACAAAAATTCATTTATATCTATAATAATAAAAGTAGGCTCTTATCTGGCTCATTTTAAAAAGTAGCATTTTAGGCGTGTGGTCAAGACCAGCCATTACCTGACCACTACTGAACATAGGCCTGCTAATGAAGGGGTTTTGCCCATAATTGTCGCTTAGCAAGCAGGTTTTTTTTAATTGGTGATAATGTAATGGTAACCCCGCCCCCACTATCGGTATACACCGGCAAGGCACTAGTGAAGGATGATAGATGAGGATGAAGCAGGTCAGTTAGCCCATTGTGATGAATTCAACAAGAATTGTTCACAATGGTTTCCAGGGGTAACCATGTGGAGGTCGACCTGATAGAGTGTATTGCTAGCAATAGGTTCATTAGACCCTATTACTAACAATCCCTTTTCCCCCTAGCAAGCAGGTTGGAACCACAGTTTTGATGATGCTTAACACAGGGACACTGCTATCACTAAACTATAAAATTCCTTTAATCACCTCTTATGACACCCATACAAAAGAAAAGGGCTCTTCATATTTACTTTTTTATAATATTTATGCTTTATTCTTTCACTTGCATTAAGGTTTTTATATAATCATAGAAATTTTAGAATATATGTGATGCAAGCAAATTTTAGGAATTTTGTTCTTAACACATGTAATTCTTTTGATTACTCAGGCCTTAAAATATAACCCACCCTATATACATCCCACCATAACTTTACCAGTACTTAATGTTCATAACTTTATCCATCCATAAATAGCAACTTATGTGCTTCTCCACACCAAATTTAATGATGATTGGTTGAGCCATAGACAAATAATATAGTAAAAAACAAAGTTATATTCAAATTCATAATAATGATAAGGAGTAGGTAACATGCTTAAGTAAATATATTGTCGCCTGTATATAGAATAAACACAAAACACAATGTAAATAATAAATTAAATAATTTATTTTTTATTCTATATAAATAATCAACTTTTTTATTAATTGTACATAACATCATAATATTAACAGAGGTTGATTTCAATTGCAAAAAAATATACTTACTGTAAGAATTTAGAAGCAGAACCAGATTAGGAGGCAGTAGTCATCTAACTCTATTTTTTTGTGATAATAAATAAAAAAAATCTACTAAACCTTCTAAATTGATCATCCACAATAGGCACATGTAATAGACACCTTTTTCGAGTTCCTTATACACCTGTATTTCAGTTATTCTTTCTATTTTCATACCAGATTATATTGTAGATAACAAATATTAAAGTAAAATAAATCCTTAAGAGAGGTAGGATACCTCTCTTAAGGGTTATCTAAATTATTATGCTTAAAAGGTATACTATACTATTTAATATGGTTTTATCCGTATTATAATTTGATTTAGCTTATAGTTTTATGACCGGCTGCCTGCCTGACGTCAACCCTTTTTATAATAAAATAATACTGTCAATAAATAAAAATTTACTAATTTATTCTAGGGAGGGTGAAGCAATTAATTAATATAAATAAATTAGGGGCTCTAATTTTTTTTGTTTAATTTTTATTTATGTATATAACTTATTTTGTCATCTATTAACAAAATGTCCTAGACTGCATAGGCCTTTATAAGCATATTGACATTGTTAACGGTCCTGCTTGCAATTTTAAAATTATAATATAATTCTATCACAAAATTCTATGCCGGGTAGGCAGAAATAACATTGTAATTAATAATAAAATTGGTGTATTAAAGATTATTGAGGGGCTGCTCTTTAAATATAAATGTAATGTAATACATGTCATATAATTTTAAAAGCAGCATTGATACATAGTTGTAATATATATCAACAATTATTAGACGCCCCTACACACTGGTAAAAGACATAGTGAGGTAATGTAATTTATGGGTAATCTACCCATTAAAATGGACATTATAAATCTTCATTGAAGGTGATTTTCTCTCGAAGATTTTTAAAAACATTATATATTCTACTTTCACTGCATACATCACAATCTTCACTGACAGTATCTGGATTTGGAGTCTCACTTGAGTTATGAGAATTAGTATCTGCTTTATTGTCACCCAACACATTGGATTCACTCAGATTTTCATTAGTATTTTCGTTGGTTTGTTCTTGTAATACTTCTGTTGAAATCACAACTTCCGTTAGTTCTTCCTTATCTAATAACTGTTGTAATGTGATAACCATGAACATGAATGTGACTCCATAGTTAACCACCGTTAAAGACACAGGCCCTAATGCTAGTATACATACAGCCATCGTGAATAATAAGGCCGAAACAGCTTCATAGTATTTTCTGAAAAAATAACGAAATAGAATATTAAATAACAAATGACCATTACCTAAATAACTATAAACATAATTGCTATAGGAAATTGTTATATTTATATATATATATATATATATATATATATATATATATATATATATATATATATATATATATATATATATATATATATATATATATATATATTGTTATTATGTTTAGTAATGTAAAATTTTCTTCCTGAAAGTAAAAAATATCTGTGATAAGTGGATACATTCATGTTTTTAGATTATTCTACGTATGATTCCATCAAGTGTGCCATCAGCTTATTTTACAGATCGCTTATTTTCATAAAGGTAAAATTATAATATTTATTATTTAAACTGGAATAACAATTAGATCACAAGTCAATAACATAACAATTAGATCAAGTCTATAACATTGCTATTATGAAACAAATGTACTCACAATTTTTTTCTTGGTCCATTAAACTGCCATACAACACATGAACACAATGAAAGTATTAAGCCTGAGTGATATGAAGTGTCCGGTTTTAATACCATAGTGTGTCTGAAATTATAACATGATATTACTACCATAGTTCTTATACACACATAATAATAGAAAATTAAATAAGGTTTTATTTGATTACAAAATAAAGGTTTGTTCAATATAGTGTGGCAATAACAGTTTTTAATCAAAAAGGAGGTTCAAAATTCAATCGTATTTTTATTTAATATATGTTACCTCATAATTCCATCATTTATAAACCAATTGGAAACATCTTTTTTTTATCTGAAAATATACTTTCAGACCGGTCTCATAGAAAATTTATCAAAATCGGTTCAGTAGTATAGTTTAAAAAAAAAATTACCAGTTATTTTGTCACAATTGAATTTGGCATTTTTGTGTGAAACATAATCCTAAATTAGTTATGTCGGTGTGGCTAATATTAATAAAGGTATTAACGTCGAATTTCAGACATTGGGGAACAAAAAGTTGAAACTCATACAATGAAGAAAACAACCTATATTTCATGTTTCACTGAAACGATTCTATTAAAAAGACCACTTTTAATAATAATCATTAAAATTAAATAGCATTGATGATTGATTGATAAATTATTGATGATTCCCAAACTACTGAGATCAATATTCATTTACAGAGAATACATTAGGAAATTACAAAAAAAAAACTCACTTGAAATTTCGAGCCCATGTTAATAAAGCAGGTACATTAACCAAAGTCACTGACATCCACATTAAGAACAATATCATATGGAAATGTATATTGTTAAGATCATCATCATCATCATCATCATAATTGTGAATATTATCATCACATTTTTTCTTATCATTTTCTCGATCCATATTGTGTTCAGTATTTGAAGATGAAGCAGCTTGCTCTTTTGGTGATTCATATACTGAGACAGTTTTAGTGTTATTTTCTGTACCTTGTGTTACATTTGGCTCACTATTAATATTCTCATTTCCATCTTCTCTATTTACACTATCAGTATGATCTTCTACAGATTGTAACTGTGAAGTAGATTCAACAGAATTTGTTTTAATTACACTAATTTCAGTATTTTTAACATCCTTCGTTTTTGTTTGAAAAACACGACACATTTTAGAGGCGATTTTTGCCATAAATTTGTAAACATAATCTTCCAAATATTCTTCATACATTTTTGAGAGCTGAAACATAATTTTAATAATATTTAGAAAAGATTTTAAAAATATATATATTTCTATTTAAAATAATTAATGTCTCAGTAATAAATATATAATTTAAAATGAATGCAAGGTTAGAGGTTTTCATACTTCTGTTGGACCTTATTATAACAGCCATTGATGTCACATATAATTTTAATTTTATATTTCCAAATTAATTTGACGCAACATTCATCTTCAGAAAATTATTACGTTTTTTTTTTATACAACTTAGAATAGTAGTGAACTTAAACTAAGTAAAATATAAAATTTCAATATCCTAAATATAAAGGATGATAAATAACACCCGGTACAATCAATATAAGGCCGGTCTCACCATGAAGGCATAGAATGCGGCGCCCGCAACGAGAGAGGCAGCACCGCAAGAGAGAGGAACAGCTGCTACTAGCGCCACGCTCACCAGCATCGGGATCTTCTGCAAACCGGACGCTACTCGCTCTGCTAGTCCACTATTGCCTCGCCATACTATCCTATAATAATATATATTTTTACTAATTACCTCTCTCACTTTACCCATGTAAACCAAATAAAAATGTTGTGTATGAATATTTTATATTATTATGTACAAACATGGACAAAAGAGCATAAGATCATTAGCATGTACATATAATGTAGAGCCATTTAGTTCCAAATTAACATGTTTTTATGTAACTTAGAATGGCAAACAAGTAGACGGCCCACCTAATGGAAAGTGGTAACTGTCGCCTACACATATATACATGAATAGTAAAATGGACATAACACAGTATACTGTTTTGCCCATGATACCCCCCATGCATTGCTATTCCTGAGGATTAACACGTACACGCCGGGGGCGACTTTAATGTTTTTTGCTGCGAGGCAGCGCTCTAATTGATGCTACGCTTCATCATCGAATATGTACCACCGGTGGTACGCGCCGCCTTAAAAGACAGTCTAGTGCGGGCCACCGGTGGTACGCGCCGCCAGATAAGACAATCTAGTGCGTATCGCCGGTGGTAAGGTGTTATGCCTCTTACCCTATAAATTCACTGCCATATCTCACCCTTCAAACCGAAACATGCAAACACAACTGCATCACGGTTGAAATACAAATGGAACAGATGTACTCAAATGAATGACGTTTGTATAAAGACTCCCTAAATATTATTAGCAAATTAACTTACCTAAATAGCAATCGATGGGCCAATTGAGATGAAAACACCATCACCAATATTGTCGCCGCCGCCGCTATATTGAGCACGCCCAGAGCTGTCATGTACGCTGGCAACACTATAAGCGAACGAGTGAAGTATTGCATCTCTTGATTATTCCCACTTACATTCTCATATATAAATGATAGGAGAGGTATCGACCTGCAAAATTAAAAATACATGTAAATTAACAATAATATTTAAGCGACATTAATCATATCAAATTCAAAATAAGACTAGCACGGTAGTAAATTCTATTGTACCATATAATACACACAAAAAAGACAAATAGAGAATACTTATGCTTTTTTAAGTTTCTTATAGAAAGCATAGTGGATTGATTTATTTTATATATTTATTAAAAGAACAACTTACATGGAAGCAATTGCAGCCAATCTAGCAAACACTAAGGCATAATATGGCTTAACACCGTCGCTCATAAGCGCTCCGTGTATAGAAAGACACGTGCCATGCTCTCGTAAATGCAATATGCTGCTTCTTGCCGCCAGTAAGACTATAGCAGCCACATATGGCACTAATACTGAGGTGTAATTCCGCGCCAGCTGGGCTAAGCGATGGTACCATGAAGATGATATACTGCAAAATAAAATAAAACTATATTTGCTACACTGCAGTAAAAATGTTTAATTTGACATACAAAACATTTTCCTTATTTAATTGTTAATTTTAATTAATTATGATTATTTTTTTAAAATGGCACGATATGTGATTAAGCTATCCTGATCGAACACAGGGACAATATAGTCCATGAATGTGATCAACCGATATGCTACTCTTAAAAGTTGATCGGAGTATGCCGACTCACTTATTAGGTTAATGCTATTTATTTCCATTTCATACAGTATAAATAGGCCAACTAAAACCAATCAATCTCTATATTTCTTTCAAATATTTTCAAAATTTACCACACTTACTAGTGCTTGACAGTTCTTTAATTTATCTCTAAAATTTACACAGACAGTGAATATTTTTGTTTTACTTTATAATAGAAATAGGCTTAAAGAATGATAAGAAATAGATTTAAAGCATTGATATTATATTTCAAACATGTTGAATAATTGGTATAAATTTTACCTAATAGTATAAGTACATTGAGGGTCCAACAATAAAGTTATTTTCACATTTTCTGAAGACTCCAATCCAAGAGTAACGTTAGGATTGCTCGTAAACAGTCGTAATTTCATAGGAGACTGTTTCAATTGCCTGTAAAATTTATAACAATAATTTATACGCACATAAGTCACAATCTAAATTAAGTTATTGGGCGTCTTTTAAATTCACCATAGTGTATCACGATACGTATGATTCTACCATTACGATATAATAAAAATGCTAAATAAAAGCAAAAATAATGCAGTGTATAATGAAGGTACTTTTAAATTTTCGTGCATGTCCACGATATCGTCATAGAAAATTAAAAGCGTGTACATTTACAAGCGCTTACCTTTTGCTCCCTTATTATATCGCGACTATACAATTGTAAAATTTTGTGCTGTACTACGATAAATTATAAAAGCAAGCATCAAGTTATTTTTAGATATACACTCGATAGCAATGAATCCAGGTCACTTAAATAAAACCGTTTATTGTATTGTATTGTATTGTAAAATCTTTATTGTACATAACTCAGATTAAACACTGGTAAATGATTTAATATACAATGGCGGATTTATCCCACAAAGAGATCTCTTACAGTCAACCTTTGAGAAGCTGAAAGAAAACTGTAGAATGTATAAGGGTAATAACCGTACAATTAAACTAAATAATACCCAGTAAAAAAATTGAATATATACAATAAAAACAGCTCTATATACCTACATATGTAAATAATAAAAGTACATGAATAATAATACAATATTAATACATAAATAAATAAAAACTTACTCACCGTTACCTTAAAAACCGTTTATTTTATTAAGCTGGCATTTTTAGTTTCCAAGATCAACAGGTTTCTTTAGGTGACCCGCATTCATTGCTCTCAAGTATAGTTTATACAATAATAAATATATTTCGCGGTGGCTACTTAGTAGTTACATATTCTATAATTAGACAATATTCGGTTAGAACCGATCGATCGTGTTTTATAACACTTCCCAATATAAAGTTACTTAGCCTTATATGTGCTAAGTAAACGAATTAGGTGTCATTTAAAGCTTTATCCTGACCGTAGAATGAATCTTACCGAATGTTAAATATCAAATTATTCCTTAAATACTGAGTAGTAAGTTTTTATAATATAACATACATACATATCTGTCACGCCTTTCTTCCATTAGGGTAGGCAGAAACAATGGAATGCCAAATGCTTCGATTCAAACAAACCTCTTTCGCTTCTTCCATCATTCTTTTCATATACGCTCGCTGATTACGGGTACTTTTAATTTGGCCCTTCTTCAGCACGTCGCCTATTTAATCGACATATAATACAACATACTTACGTAAAATAATGATAGTATTCATTATTCTTCGCCCATGGAACGTGCATTTCAGCAGACACGTGGTACTGTGTGGCCTTACAACTCGCCGTTGGTTCCACATAAAGCAAATATGCTTGATGTAACGTATTGAATTCAGGCAAAAGTAGTTCGTAATATAAACTTTCCTGTTCAGTCTCCGCTTTTACTATTGACTTTCCAAATGAAAAGATAGAAGGCAAGCTTACTGTGATCTGTCTCGATGCGTGGTCGTTTATATCAACGTTCAAAATTATCTGTAAAAGATAAATAATTATAAAGAGACTTTGGGAGAATGTTTTCATATTAGCTGTGAACCGTCCACTGCTGAACATAGGCCTCCCCCTTGGGGAGTTCTGCCAGTATTTGCCTTGCTTGGTAGGCGGGTTGGCAAGTGCAGTTAGGCTTTGGTGACTTCAAAAGGGCAGCAGCGTCGTCTCAATAAATCCACTTAGTCGCCTTTAACGAGACCCACGGGAAAAGAAGGGGTAACCCGTACTATGCCGGGAGTGATGGTGCCTAGACGGCACCATCACTCAGTCACTCATATGTTCAGTCAATTAATTATTTAAATATATAAAATATAGAACAAAAAAATTACCGGTCTCCTAGTCGGCGACACTTTGACCACCACATGACTCCAATCGGGATGTTGCTCTTTTATACTGTGAAGATGCACCGTCGCCAATTTACGTTTACCAAAGCCAGTTGCAGCGCCAGTCCATCGGCTAAGTTCGGTTAGAGACGTAGCGTATTTGCTGAAATATTTTATCATAGCATAACCGACAGCGCGAAATTTCCCCTAAAACTGGCAACTTCTGCATTACCTGTCAAATTTAAAACAAAATTAAACGATTTTATAGATATTTTAGCTTACAAAAATTAGCTCTGTGGTACATTAAAATGATAATCATGTAGGTATGTTTCTTGTTACTTAATTTACAACTTTAGTGCAAAAAAGTTTCCGAAAACCTCAAAAGGGAAATATGAGATAAATATTTTTTTCGTAGCGGTTTCGTTCAACTTATTCCATGATTAATTTTAAATGCAAACAGAGCGTTGTTAAAATTATCATTGAAACTCAATTATATGTAAAATCGTTTAATTCTCTATAATATTCGACAGATGAATGCAGCAATTATGTATTGCCAGACTACATTTTAGTAGATGTATCAAAAAGAAATATATGTGAACATTGATCATCACAAGTTGAGCTACAATTCTAAGTGTACTTTTTTGTTGGTCGAAATGTATGAATGAATGTTTGCATTATACAATATAAAAAATAAGTAAGGTAATTAATTAATATAACGATACGTTTGTATAAGTATAGTAAGCCGAAATAGAATATATTGAATAGAATTGCATAACGCACGTGAGTTAGAGCTGGCGCAAAGAATTCTGTATTGTAACAACAAATACTTACATGAGATTGACATGTTAAAAAAACAAATCCCAAATTAAACGTAGATTAAAAAAAAAAAAAGCAACAAATAGTTCCCAGTTTATTTAGATAATGCAACTATTGGCGTATTTAAGATTTTCCAGGGTTGATATTTAGGATTCAAAGTTTTTTTTTTCACATTCTAGGGTGGCCACTGCCCCCACCTGGACCTCCTCTAGATACACGTATAAGTGCATTGCAATGAATATAGGCCAAATTTGAATGACAGGTTGTGACATGCTGAGCTCAACTTATGATGATCAATGATCATGTTTCTTACAATTAGACTAGCAACATTTATCTATTATAGGCCGTTAGTTGACGACCCATATTATTATCATCATCATCATCTTAGCTATTATACGTCCACTGCTGAACATAGGCCTCCCCCATAGACTGCCATAAAAAACGGTTCTAAATGACCTGCATCCACAGACTCCTTGCATTATAATTACATTAAATATTATGTGAACTATAGATAACTATTCTATGACAGTAAAAAGATAATTTTCATGATTATGTACTGAAATACAGTTATCAGTAAGATAAGAAACTGAAGGATTTATAACTAATTCACTATGTTATATGTGCCATAAAATTTAACTGATAACTAGCGCTGACCCGCGACTTTGAACACGTAAATAAGAATAAAATCCGTGTAACGATACGATGCTAATCTCCAAAACCGATTTTAATAAAGTAAATGTGATCGTTTGCCATAACTTGAAAATTAGGATAGTTTTTATCCAGATAAAAAAAAATTAACCCGGTACGTGGCAGTATGAATAAAATATTTTTTTCCGGATCAGTTAGTAATAATAAAATTCGTTTTGTCATTTAAGAGTGATTTAGTAATCATTTAATCATGCAATCCATCAATTCAACGTAACTTTACAAACTTTCACATATAATATCAGTAGGATGTCTATGTAACTTACCAATATCTATACGTGGACGCCGTGTATTTGGCATTACAACCAAATATCCAATCTCTGTTCGATACGTTAACCGATTCTATAGCGACGAAACGATTTTGTGGGAAATTTACCAATCTTATCATTAAATATGTTGTTCTGAAAACAAATTAATATTCAAAATACTTAACTAATTTCGGGATGGACTTATTGAATAAATATTATTAATATTAATAATATTTATTTAATAATATAATCCTTTCCATAGAATAACCACATGACTTAACTTTCGTTTTCACGAGTAACTACCGTTGTGATTCTGAAATGCACATTGTGATTAGACAATCGAATATCTAATAGATGTATCGTAGATGATGATAGATATCACTAAATGATATATCTATCTATTATTATAATTATAAAAAATACCTATTACCATAAACTTACATAAGATGGAGATAATACATTGTCCTACATATGAGTATTAGGTATTGGGTCTCACTCGTGCACAAGCAGCTGAGCTCATCTTCGGTTTCAAGGGTGGCGTATATAATTCAAATTACAGGTGAAGATTAAAGTGTTATAATCTTTAAAAATAGTAACTGATAAGGAATGCAATTTGCGATCACAGTGTGTTTTATTTACAGGCGATAGTTATTACATTCCTAATTAATTAATTGCATACCAATTCCATTAAAATTTGTTTACTAAGTACAATGTAAATTAATAACAAACATTTAAATATCTTTAGAAAGATTCAAAATTATATAATAGAAAGTATATTAGTAGAAAATAATTTTCTACCTAATAGTTTTAGATATAAAAAAAAATATTTTTGGTTTTTGTATGGTCCTATGCTTATTACTTAAGAAGATAATCTAATCAGTCAACTGAAACACTACTAGATAGAAAATTGATTTCGTTTTATCACCATTCTTGATTTTTTAATACAGATAGCATACCTCATTTTCAAACCGACTTTTAAATAGGAGGTTCTAAATTTGGTCGTATTTTTTTTTATTTATTTATTTGAAAATTACTCACCACACTTACAGTTTCCCAAAACGTGTAGTGAGCCATAGTTTTATTTTACAAACTTACATATTTTGTACAACATTTTAAAAATATATTTATTTTGTCATTAAATATATCAATATCTGGCTGCTGAGCAATCAGAGAATTGAGCAGAGAAATAGCCTGATAAATGGGAGCAAACTGAGCAGTACAGGTGCGAACCGGCGGTGCCGATAGTAGTTGACAAGCACGCAATCGCATGCAGCGTTGGGGTGCTTACAAAGAACAACGGTTAAGAGTTGCAGGATTGTCTATTCCGCCGTTGAGCAACCGATAATAGTGCATCATCAAATTGCACTTTCGCCTTACCTCGAGCGTTTATGGGTCTCTTAGTACATTTCTATACTACCCGATAATTGCTACATTACTTTATTGTAGGTTGTCTGCATTTTTTTCATCCATAGGGATACATACATATATACCATACATAATACAGATAACCATACAGGTATATATAGATATACCTGTATGGTTCAATTTTGTCAACTACATAAGTTTCTACTATTATATATAATTCGGCACTCGTTGCTATTTTTATATATAACATAAATATATTTTTAATAACTGTTTGTGCCAAAATAAATAAATAAAAAATAAAGTATTGATATATTAAGGAAAATAATAATTTACTAAGTATATACAGACGAAGCTGTGATCATAATTAATATACATATCAATGTAAACGATATAAATAACACAATATATATATATATATCTACGAGTAACTAATGACGCAATGATCGAGTCTTAAAATAATTGTTGTTTCCACGTTTGGAAAAATGCCAATGTTTTAGTTAACTACTACTTATTAAGAACAAAATTTCGTCACTACGAACGGAAGGATGGGCATTTATTTATTTTACTGAATGTCAAGGTCTTACTAAACCTATATTGAAGTTTCTAGACCAGGTAATCATCATACCCAGAATGTATACTAACTATATCACACCGTATTGGTTATTTTCTATTCCTATTGAAATTCAAACTTTTTATGAGCGTAAATATTACAAGAGAAAATTCCTAGCAATTTTACTTCTGTTCTGTGCCTGTACCTGAGACTTTTTTTTTTGTTTACGTCACGTCGGCAACGCGTCAACAGATATCTTACCTGAGACGTTAGGATTATAAAAGACTTGTTTGTTTTCCCAGAATCCTCAGTTCTCAAGGAACTATTCACCTAACCAATGTTTAACGATTAAATACTAACATAACAGAAGTGGTCTATATCATGGTATAATAAACATTAAACAAACACTTACTTATCTATATCTGGCCTTGATATTTGATAAATTCGTCTGTTGTCTTCGTACCAAAAGGCATCCATTTGCATTGTCACATTTGGTCGGTTTATATCTGGATTTAGAAACATTGAACGATTGGCCTAAAACATGACATTAAACAGACTCTTACAATATTGCAAAAATACTTTTTCAATGTATTTTAATTCTTATTTTAAAAACTTGATACAGTTGGATGGAAGTTGGTGAACACTTATTATTCTCTAATTATATATCTAATTAATAATTAACTATTCTCTCATAGTTTTAGAAAAAAATCTTCATAATGTGTTCAGCAATTTTCATTCATACTTTTTCATACCTGGAAGTATTCCCTAGCTTTGGATGTCAATACTTGATTATCTTCATTGATCTGTGCAGTCCATGGGTCAATAATAGAAAATAGATATTTATTGATTGCCATTACAACTTGCTTGCACCAAACTATGCTCACATGATCAGTGGAAACCCACACTCCTGGAACAGCTGTACTCTAAAAATACATTATAAATTTTAACATGGCAACTTTAAGACTCATGTTATACAGACATGTAAATATAACACAAAGATTAGGAGGGAAAAGGGATTGTTAGTAATAGGGTCTAACTGACCCATTGCTAGCAATACACGCTAATAGGTCGACCTCCACGCGGTTCTCCCTGGAAATCATCGTGGTTAATTGTAATTCGTCACGATGAGCTAACTGACCTGCGTCATCGTCACCTGTCATCCCTCACTGGTGCCCCATCAGCGTATACCAATAGCGCGCGCGGGGCTACCATTCCATTATCACACAATAAAAAAAACACAAATAATTAAAACTTCCCCTTAAGTATTATTTTTTCGTTTACCTATAGTCAGTTGTAATATTAGACTTTTTATACAATGCTTGTGGTAGATAAGCATACACCCAGGGGGGAAAAGAATTGTTAAAAATGGAGTCTAACTCCCCAATTGCTAGCAATTTACCCTATCAGGTCGAATTCCACGTGGTTCCCCTTGGAAACCATTGTGGTTAATTTGAGTGGAATACATCACGATGGGTTGACTGACCTGCTTTCATCGTCACCTATCATCCCTAACTGGTGCCTCGCCAGTGTATACAAATAGTGAACCTACCATTTCATTATCATCCTTCAAAAAAAAAGAGCATACAGCCTGTCAGATAGTAAATGGATATCGTAACCTATGGACAACTTTAATATCAGATATTCCTGGCCCTTAAAAAACCTTACTATACCCTTCTTAAAAAACCCCATACACAGCGCCTACCATAAATACCAATTATAATTTTTCAATAAAAAAAACCTAAATACTTACCAATGCTCCTATATAACTTTCATTGCAAGATGTCAACCAGGAAGGCATTAAAATATCTCTCGGACCACTGCCAAAGCTTAGTAATAGTTTCTTTTGTTTAACCACATCATTTCTGTTTATATTTGCATTCCATTCCATATCCATCAGTTTGTAATAGTCATTCATAGCAAGGTCAAAATTGATAACAGGAGCTTGCAATGGTGCAGACAACGTTATAGCTATAGAAGTTGTATTCACTGTACTTGGATATGCTAAAAGACGCTTGGCGATCAGACCTCCCTACAGAAATAGGCAACTTTAAATCTTAACTCATTCAACAATGGAGATTCATCAGTATTAACAGAATTTAAAATCTAGTGTAGGTTTTATTGGAATTAGTGAAATAGGTCCTCACATATAACTTAACTATTCTATTGTTTGAAATCACTAAAATTATACACAGTATTTATATAAGTAAATACTATAATAATAAGTTTTTCTTAATTTGACAATCATATTTATGAAAAAATCACTAATAAAGATGATCTTTAAATAGTGTCACAACTTTTTTAATATATTAATGTAAATATTATATAATTGAAAAGTTTATTTGATAAATAATAAAGTTACCAGTACAGCCAGTTTTTAATAAACATTCACAAATTGATTCAATTTTTCAACCCTATTAATGTAATCTAACAGCACAGGAAAGATTACCATTACATTTTAATTTATTAAAAAACAGTATATCCCTACCCTTACTGTAAATCTAAAATTGGGTTTGTTTGTTAAAACTTGGTGCTACAAAAGTTATACCAATCTTAAATTCTGGCATATACATAGTTTCTATGTTGAGCAAGAATATATTCTACTCTTTTTTTTGTTACCTGAAGAATCACTGACAAAGTTGCAAAAAGTAAGTATGTTTAATTCCATGGTATACCTAATACTACATAAAACTCTCAAAACACTTACCATGGAATGACCAATTAAAATAACAGATGTCGGAACAGTCTTTGTATATTTATTACTTTTATATAAATTGAGTATTCTTGATATGCAAGCAGATGCAAAATCTGTTTGTTTCTGCAATACTCCTCCATATAATCCTGATAGTTCTTCATTGTAACTAACTGTTTAGGAGAAATAATAATATCATCTTTACACACAAACTTATGTTAATGATGCCCTACTACATATTAAAGTAGTAACATTATTTTTTAATAATACCTAATCTAAGGAATAGTCCCTATGTCTATGTAAACCCTTTGGTCTATTTTATACATACTTCACATTACATAACTTTACATTAGCGAACCTAGTCTAAAAGATTGGATACAGTAATTCCTTGTGAAGTAATTTTTATCACGACTGGATGTTGGGGTTGTAATAATGATAAAACTTATAAAAATGTAATGCATCAAGCACAGTCTGATTTTTAAATATCAGATATCCATTGATATTCAGCAAGTACATTTTTAATCATTTAAATAGGAGTCAATAAATTTCAATAATTTATTACTATTAATAAAGACTTACTTGTAAAGTAATCAAAATGGTATTCATAACCACGGTCTAATGCTTTTCTTAAAGCAACAGAAGCCAAGGATCGAGCTTGCATATGGCTACCTGAATTACCAGGTAAGTATAATACTGGAACACCATCAAACCTACAAATGAATACATTAATTTAAAATTTACATATTTATAACTAATACTATATATTGTATAATGATCAATACCAAATGTAGCACCCTTATCAAAAAAAACTGATCAGTTGATACCTTTAGGGATGGGTAATCCTTAATAATATTATAAATGTGAAAGTGAATTAGTTTGTTATTTGTTAGTGTCTCATTAACATAATCAATTATGAAATTTGATATATATGTACTACATGAGATAAAGTTATAAGCAATTTTTTATCCCGTTTTTAAATATATTACTTCAGTAGTATGTTTAATATTCTTATTGGCATTAATATTTCTAGCACAAATATTTACACTGGTTGTAAAGCAAGCACTGTGAATTTTTCTCATAATTTTTTCCACTAAATTCTGTAAAATTTACTGTTTACTCATAATGACCGTCTAAAAAGCAACCATACCTTCAACAATAATACTTACCACATTTTTCTAGCTTTTTCAGTAAATCTTCCTTCACTATAGGCATACAGTCCATATTGGGGAAAATTCCTATTTTCGGGGACTGAAACTGCCTAGGATAAATTAAATTATATGAGAATAAACAAATAAACTTTATCAAACACATATTTAATATAAAAACTCACCACAAACTGCGGAAATTCGAACATGTATGTCATTACACAATAATTATTTTTGTCGCTAAAATGTAAATTTAATGCACCAAGAAGGTATCCAATTACGAATAACAGTGAGATAATTTGAAAAATACTTGAACTTAAAATCCTTAACAATTTCATTTTCTCTCACGTTTTTGATCATAATATTATGGTTTAGAATAATTTAAAATTTTATTTATTTGAAAAGACAACTAATACATTATAACCCCTCGGACAAAAGTCTGTGGCCACAGATTAGAGACTATCCGTCAGAAAGATATTTAGAGAAAGGTATCTATAGCGATGACAGACATTTAGCGGTGCACAAATTTACTAATACTAGCTACTAATTATTCAACTGTGCAAATCAAATTAACTGCTTCTAGTAATCGTTAAAATCATCCTTAATAGTTATTTATGTGTATATCGATACAATCATAGCCTAATCACTCGAATATAACGAAATCATTTGTATTAATGCAACGATCATTATTAATACTCTGGATGTACGAGATGTTTACACATTTTATTAATCCTTGTTCTTAGTTATAATCATCACAGATTAGAAATATTATGTCTAAAGAATGCAAATGACAGCTACAAACAAATGTAGATTGTAATATTATTTAAGAGACCATACTATACTCATATTATCAGAAAATAATTCTATGCAACCATCTACAAGTAACGTTCACATAAAAAAAAATATAGTATTGTGCATCTGGGGCCTATTCTGAGGTATATTATAAATATTGCAATTGCGTTTCAGAATCAATCTCAATATTTATAGTATGTCACGGTATAAAATATCGATACTAATTAATATAACAAAAGATCTACCTACTTCATAACCAAAATTTTCCAAATTTAATGTAGTCGTTAAATAGAGTTTATATTTTTTTTATTATAATGGAAATGATGCAAACTTAGTATTAACTACAAATTTCTATAATTGACCACAGAGAAAATAGGTAAGACAATATAATGCAACGTAGTTCTCTAAGAGGTCTGTGCACATATGTACATACAATGATCGGTGCTAATCATTTGACAGAAATATTACGTTATTTTTATAATTTTGACTATTAATAAGATACCCTATCTCGGTGATCAAATTTAGTTATGGCATATAATACAGTTTTTTTTTGTTTCGACTGTAACGTAGCGATTATTTGTTTTAGTTTCGAATATATTGGTACCTACTCTTGTGACTATTCTTTAAATAGAAGGATTGATTTGACTCAGAGGACGTTTAAGTATTACGAAACGCTTATTTCGAAGATCATTGTAACATTTTTCTGTACTCCCTCTCCGCCCCCCCCCCCCCCTCCTTAAATGTTATGGAACACTCAAGTGATCATTTTTACCTAAAAGTTACAACACTAACAAATACTGACAACAGAAACAATATAAAAACGACGTATTTGACACTAGCTGGAATAAATCTAATACTCAAAAATAGTACTTACTCCGTATGAACAAAGAAGTTAACAAATATTTAATTGAATAATTTAAAATTTTGTTAATAAATCAATTTACGTAAAAATAATACGGTACGTATCAACATGGAAGAAAGCCTTCAATTCAAAATGGTATTATTTAGTAATTCCTTATTAGTTTACAATTTATGTAATAATGTAACATAAATATGGTCGACCGATTCAAATTGAAGTCATTGTGTCTTTTATTATGATTTGATTCGTTACCAGTTTAATTCGACAAGACGATGATTTATTATGACAGGAAAAAATAAGTTTGATGAATAAATTGACATTTAGGTACATTAATATTAAGGAACAAAGTTTTCAAAAATTGTACTTATAATTTAGTAGAGATTCATCATGTAATAAAGACATCTGAGGCATAACTTTTTAATGTATTTGTTATAATTCAACTAAATATATTAAAAATAATTTTATATTTAATTGAACGAACGAATTGAATATAACGAGTAAACGATTTTAACTTGTGTCTTGTGTAATAATAGTATCTTTCACAGTTACCAACTTGGTAACATAGCATAATGTTGCCAAAGCCGTGAATAACCGACTTAACTCTTTAACGTATTAGCTAGTCGTCGCCCGAGTTTATTTCGAGACTTGATATTTTTTTTTTACTTCATTACAAATATTTCACCAATATCGATACCGTTCAATCCTGTTTCAAACTTTATTGATAATAAGTTTTGTTTCTTTGTATAAACCAAAAAGTTGAAATAATATTATTTTTTGAGAAGACATATAACACGAAAATAAATGAAGTATATATTTTATACTACATTTGTATGAGGTATGTAAGTAGTTCATATCATGCTAATATGTACCAACTGTACAATGATTTGGGTAATATTATATTACTATAAAATATATGCCTATATGAAAAACGTAAAGTATGAATTCTTTTTTGTTTTTCACTAAATTCTGTTTAATTTTTGCAGACTTCTTAGCAAGAAATGGAAGCACTCAATATCTTATTTTTTTTAATATTATTGCCACCAACAATATTTTTATTTCGAGCTCTTTATTTAATATTTCAAATCTGTACATCTGACTGTAAGTTAGTAAGCCAAGAGACCACCTTGAAAACAATATTCTGCATTGGATCTGGTGGTCATACTACTGAATTGTTAAGGCTTGTTAAAAAACTAAGTACTCAGAAATACCAACCACGTTTGTATATTATTGCTGATAATGATGTAAGTAGTGAAGTGAAAATACTCAATTCTGAAAGTACCAAATTCTCTATTAGTAGAATACCTAGAAGCAGGAATGTTAAACAGTCTTATTTGTCATCAGTTATAAGTACATTGTATGCAATATTAAGAACTATTCCAGTGGTTTATCGTTTTAAACCAAATGTTATATTTTGTAATGGTCCAGGCAGTTGTGTACCCATTTGTATTGTTGCTTTTTTACTAAGATGTATATTAATTTTAGATTGTCGAATAGTATTTGTTGAAAGTATATGCAGAGTTAGAACACTATCTTTGACTGGTAAAATATTACAATATATTGCTGATATAGTAATTGTTCAATGGCCACAACTAAGAGATGTTTGCTTTAGAGCAAAATATTTTGGTAGATTGACTTAAATGGATGCACCTATTTGCCAATTTATCAATATTTTAGTATAAAACTTCAATCAATAAGTATTAAGTGATAATGAAATGTAAATACTAAAAAGAGCTTAAATTTTTTAATAAAACAAAGTGATAACTTGAAAAATTGTATAATTAATTAAAGTAATAGTGCCAGGGAGATCATATAACTAATGTTCTTATTATTGATAAACTTTGAGTAAAGTGTTCTCAATTTATCAATAGTGTAACGGTTAATATTGTGGATTAAATGCCTAAGCACACTTTTGTAACCTTTAATGTAAAATGCATTTAGTACAATATGACAAAATTTCAATACATAAAATAAAGATGCAATAATACAACAAATAACTGAAATAACAACAAAAATATATTAAGATGGTCATAAGATACTTATCTATTACTGACTTTTTCAGTAAAAATATAGAGAAAGCCATGTTATATTATTGCTACTCACAAAATCGAAGCCTGCCCAAGAGATTTCATATTAAGTATTGCACATTGTGCAAAATCTTTAAGTTATTCCTACCATCTTATTTACCGAATTATATTTTTATTGCCTAAATATAATAATTATAGCTTTTAATAAAGTAAAAGGCACATTTTTCATTTAGCAAAGGCAAATTATAAAGGCCTATAAAATTTCTATGGCATTAATTGCTTTATTTATGAACTGCTAAGTACCTACTCCTTAGCAAGCTTATATCTATTATTAAAAGGAAATAAGACAGTAGCTATACTTAGGTACTTAACCTGTTCCATACTTATCGATTAAGTAAGTACTTATTGCTTATATAACTGGGAATATAATTTTCTGCATTTAATAATTTGGTGATTATTTCATAATATCATTTTTTATTTTTTTAATGTATTTAGACCACAGCATACAACTTAAAATGTATGAGTACATCAGTATACATATAAAAATATTTTATATTAATTTAAAATATATTAATTTAAAATATTCAGAACTAAATATGTTTTAATTAACAATTGTATCAATGCATTTTTTTTTTCAATTAATAAAAAATCAAAATTGCTTCTCATTTTTACCACAAATCCCATTTCATGTGCTTTTTTATAATTTATTTACACATTATTGCACCATTTGTAAAAATAATAAATACAGTAAATTTTAACGAGAAGTGATACAGAAAATAATTGTTACACATATTCTAAAATTTGTTATATGTATTAAGAATTGTTATGACTCCTGCATTCACTGGTATGTTTATTTGCATGGCAATTAAGTAGGTAGAATATATAATAGTTGCTTTCTCTTTTGAATTTATACTCTTACATTATTTTTCAGATCAAAAACTATCAATTTTTAAAAGTAATCATTAATCTATAACATAATGCATTATTTCACTGCTATGGACAACAATCTATATACATATAATTTAAATGTAAATGCATCAGTCTTCACAACAGTAAATTGCAAATTATGCCATATACAAATTTTGTAAATGAGGCACATATAAATATACAACTAGGAATATAGTGGGGTCAATTCTGATGCGGCAGTTTTTTTTATCTCTGCATCTAAAATTTCAATACAATATTGTAGCAAAATCCTTAAGATATAACTAATAATCTACTTTAAAAATGCTTGAAACAATGTATTTTAATTAAAATTTTAATTTTAGAGATAAGGAAGTCAACACTTCAGAATTGATCTCAGTGTACGTAAATAACCCCTTATAATAATAGATCATTATAGTGGAGCAAACTTATAGTAAACAATAACTTCACCATCTGTTTTACACTGGGTTTGAAATGTTCTTTTAAATTAATAACAGTAATTTCAAGAGATATTTCGTATTCATAAAAAATAAGGATCTGATAAATTTATTTCATTCAATAATCTGATGTGTAGTTTTTCTAGAATAATTTGGTAAGTTATTTTTTATGAATAATATAGGAGATCTATAAATAGAACTAGTATATCTAATTAAAAGTGAATAAAAAGATACTTTTGTACTATTGAATGCCAACTTTCTTACTTATTTAAAGAACACACTGCACTATGTATATGTGTTGAAATTTTCAGTGTTTACAAAAGGCCCTATTAGCAGATGTGTAGGTATCATTGAGATAACAAAATCAGATGGTCCAATTAAAGAGCATTTATTTTTTAATGTTTATTAGAAAATATTATTAAAATATGAAAATCATATTCCATTCAATTATTGTGTGATTGAAAAGTTTTGAAGAGAGTTTGACTCACACCTTTCATATTTTAATAATATTTTTATAACAATTTGCAATTAATAAATTGCCAAGAGTCTAATCATAAACAACAGTTTATTAGCATATAATATTTAATCAATATACTGTAAAAAATGAAGTTACTTGAGACAAATGGCTGTAACTGTCAATTACATGCAAAATATCGATTGTATATTCGATTGTCTCAATTAATCAAAAAAGTAAAAATTTCATTTCAGTTAAGAGTTACTTTCTAGTTTATATCTTTGCTATAAAATAGCCTGTACTTTACATTTTTACTTACACACCTGTATGTAATGCAATGTAATCTACATTAATGCAAATAGATTGCCATTTGAAAATTGAGTTTTTTATATAAAATTAAGTGTAACTTGTTGCATTAATAATTTTAAGCCTTTTAAGAATATTAATAAGAGATCTCCAATTTTAGGCCCAATTGTACATGATCAAATATATTAATTATATTTCCCCTATTTCATGAAGGACACAAAATTTAATAAACTTCAACGTAGGATTTAGAACTGGTCTATCAATGTACCAGATTCATTAACCAATAACCTATTTCTAATATTATTTTATGGTTCATGTCTATTTTGTTAGAAATAAAGATATTAACCCATTATACAAAATATAAGAAGTGGCTGATTTGGAAATGGTTTATACTCTTTGACTGTATATACTATATTATATATTTAATGATAATAATTATATTTAATGAGCCCAGAATAAGATGTTTCCCATATTGTAAAAAATCATCACAAAATTAATATTGGGTTATGCATTAGGCCATACATTTTGGCACAAATAGAGCAAGTAATGGTTCTTATAAAAATTTCAACATTTCTATTATTTTACAAGTTTATAGATTCATTTTAAAGATTTTATTAGTTGTGATTCACCATTTAGATATTTATAAAGGAATATGATGGTGAATTTAGGTTTAATGCTCCAATATTTGTTGAAACATTTAATCCTAATCTAAATCTGAACAAATTAGAATGAATGATATTGTTATGTCTTAGTGTCTTTTCACATAGACCAGCACAGAGATGATAGCAGCTGTTGTGTTTAAACTAGAATTTTAAAATCACTGAAAAAGATTTTATATCATACTTTTTTTGTTATATGGTGAATGTCTGAGAGTTGACAAAGAAAAGAGAAATGTAGAAATAAACATAAAAATAATGTAAAGCTCTCTTAAATGTGATCAAAATCTGTGTAAACAGCCATTAATCCATATAATAATAAACATAATTTTAATCTGTTCAAAGTCATTTTAAGATTAAATATTTCATATATTTCTTTTTAAAATGACCATTAAAACAAACCCGACATAACAATATTACTAACATTTTAGGCACATCTATGAATACGCAATATCAATAATGACTATGTATGTAGAAATGATAAGTACAAAAGGAAGAATTAAGTATTATACTTACATAGCTAATGATAACAAAACATCTGGTCCTTTTAAGGTTTACTATTATCTGAAACATCAGGTGTTTGAGAAGTTGTTTCTTGTTTGGCACTATCATCAACTTTATTTTCCACTTGCAATTTTTCATCACTTATGAGATACATAGCCTCATCATATGTAGGAGGTGGAGGTTCTGAACTGGAAGGCTGGGGTTTGCTGGTCGCAGCATTTGATATTAAGGCATCATAAGAGGGAGGCAGTGTGGCATTAGATGCTGTCCTTGGTACTTGCCCACCATATGCTTGTTCTGCTGGAATAGCCGCCATATCCTGAAATTGATGTGATTAAAACAGTGGGCCAGAGTTCTGGAATATTATGGCCTAAAATTAATAATAGATCTAAAATGAAAACATTCCAAATATTTAATAATTTAAAAATTCCAGGTTTATTACAATATTGAATGATTATTTAATTTTATCTAATACAAGTATTTAATTTATTCATTGTTTTTTGCTGTAAATTAAAATATTATTAGGCAATACAAGAGTAATAATTGATTTATACAGTAAATTATAATTAATGCAAATAAAATTACAATAATTTTAAGAGGATACCAATTACAATTTTCCTTGATTGAAACTATTCATAAAACATTATTGTAAAGTAATATGTATAAATACTATTCATTATTTAATCAAAATAATATGGTTATATCAAAACATGGTCAACAGGTTGTTTTATTATATGAAGGTAGTTACCTAAATTGATCTATAAAAGGGATCTTCATTGCATACAAATATTTAAGAAAATAGTCAAATTTTTTTGTTAAATGTCTTTGCAGAAGATAAATAAGTAATATCCAAGTTTAATATATTTTAATATTACTTATGTACATTAAACTTACCCTTATCAAAGCACGGCGATGAAGCAACATTTGTATAACGCTTTTTCTACGTAGGTACAGCATACTTTTTACAGCAACCATCATTCCAGAACATATAAATATCGGTCCCACTAGCCACATGTGTCCTAAATTGCTAAGAATATAGCCGTCTGCATCTCCTAATGCAAGCACTGTAATAACGGTACCGACAGAAAAAAGAACCATTGAGAGCACAAAATAAGAATAACTGGTACAGTCGCATCGTCCAAATCGTTGATCTTCATCAAAGTCGTAATCACGATGCCTAAGTCGATGTAATCTTTGCCTGATGAAGGGACTATCGAAAACGGTAGCCATTTTTATATCAACACAAATAATCACATCAGAATCATAACGTCTTAGAAAAAAGTAATCAGATTAAAACGTACAAAACATAATATTATGAACTTTCTGATTTGGAAAGTAATTATGAGTCTATACGGAAACAGGTTCCTAATTTATCAGTATAATAGACACCTAAAAGTAGGTACTATTCGTTCAGTAGGTATCTAAATTTCCATCCGTAAACAGACAGTTTGTCAGGTTACAGATTAATTAAGAACACAGAGCAAGTCATTTTGAGTGGACAGCGGTCTTATACGTACGAAACCTAATGAAAGCATTTTATCTTTTTAAAGTAACACTAAGAACAAGAATTATATAGAAATATTGATAAAATAACTGTATAATAAACTATATGGTTATCTCTTTTCTTCTTATGTTAATATTATTAGCAAAAAGAGGACGAGATATACTATCAGTTCCTTTTTTTCTCGAATCGTAGTAGGGTAGTGTATAGAAAATGTTTGATATGTCAAATATTTGACAATAACAATTTTTATATTACTGCATTATATATTCGACATAGTTTATGTAGAAAGTATGCAAGGTGGTTGTCTATGAATTTGGTATGGCTATACGGCCGTATAACATTTTCTATACACTAGGCTGCTATACATTGACAATTATATCACTCTATATAATTCCTTGTTCTTAGAAGTAACAACACAATAAAAAAAGGTATATCCATAGTGTTGACCACTGTCCAAAATATCGATATCAACTGTTGTCATGAAAAAACCTAGCTATTTCATAACATAAAATTTACAAATTTTACAAAAAACATGGCCAATAAAAGAGTTATAGGTATGTTTAGTTACTTTGTTTTGCTCTACTTTAAATTTAAATCAATTGGACAGGTAAATAACGCAAATGTACTTTAGCGCATTAAACAATAATTAGAATTACATATGCACGTCAACTGAGTTGTACCTGAAACAGCACCTGAAAAAAAGTATTTCTTTATTTATTTCTGAAAAATATATACGCACTACGTACCTACAAGCATATAAGAAAAATAACCTTATTTACAGTTATAATTGTATTACAATTACATATAACCATGACTAAAATATTTTTATTTTAAGAGGTGTGGTTTTAATGGGTAACTACATAATACAAATATAATTAATGAATTGTCATACATAATTTTTGGGAAAATTCTCACACATGTTTTAAGGAAAAGTTTTAGTTTGAACTTAATTATATAAGAATTATACTTTTTATGCCTATAAGATTGATGATAGAGGACCAAATTGTATTTTACCAACGTATCATATAAATGTTATGTGCCTATTAATTACAAAATAAAGTGATTGATTCATCGAAAATAATTAAGTTCATATTAAAAAAATAATCATTTCAAGAATTTTAATTTAACTCTGAGGGATTTTTTTTAGATAATTGCATTACAAATAAATATTCTTTAAATTTAAAATACTTACCGGTCATAAGTAATGACTTTTTATTTCCATTTTAATTTTATAATTTTAGCATCTATTTTATGCGCAAGAGTTCTTTTTTTATTAAATAAATATAGATACGTAGTTTATGTAATACTAATAAAAAAGAACGAGATAGCTTATTGTATTAATTTAAGCTTTGAAGACACTTAAAAACATTATTATTATCATGCCTTTCGAAATCTAGTATCCTTTTCAAAATTTTTCTATCTCAAAATTTTTATAATTTACGTAAAAAAAAAGCCACAAGTCGCTGTCAATCTTACTATACTGACATAACAATGACATGTTTTGTTTGATGGATAGGGATGACGACGTACCTAAAACTTAAGTATATAAAAATTTGTTCAGAAAAAAATAAACTGACTTAGTCTTCTATTTGCGTTTTTATTATATTCAAGTTAAAAGTAATGTTTACGGATGTGTTTATCAAATAGTGGATAATATTTTTAAGCTTTACATAGTTTGTTTCTAGACTAAAAAAACCAAATACGCGTTTGAACATTTAAATGTATTTCGATATGGCCCGTGTTATTTTGTTGTTCTGCTTTATCTTGGTATTTGAGAGGGGTGCGTTTTTAGATTAATATTTAACAACTTTTTCAATGTTCATTAATATTTGGTTAAAATTTTCAACCAATTATTAGTTAAGTGGACTCTATAACAAATACTGTTTCTAGCCATTAAAATTTATATTATCCTTTTTATTGTTAATTTTCAGGCGTATTTGGAGTTCAGTTGTCTATTACTAATGATGGGCCAGCAGTGCGTGGTTCTTACATAACATTTGTAGCGTCTGTGACTGACTTTGTGACAGGGGAAAGCCTTAAATTTTCCTTTTGGGATGACGCTCAACCACAGCATACTGCACAAGTGAGTATGTTCAAGTAAGCACCTTACGGTGCAGTCAGCAATTACACAAAAGAGTAGTGTTTTTTTTTATACCACTGAGGTGGCAAACAAGCATACGGCCCACCTGATGGTAAGTGGTTACCGTAGCCTATGAACACCTGCAATACCAGAGGTATTACGCGTGCGTTGCCGACCCTGAAGAAACCTCTTTACCCCCCTTTTGAAGAACCCCATGCTGTAGTCTCTTGGGAAAACCTCAACAGGGAGCTCATTCCACAACCTGAGTGTTCGTGGGAGGAAACATCTCTGAAACCCTGCAGTATGTGACCATTGAGGCTGTAGGACATGAGGATGAACTCTCTGTCAATGGTGAGCCATACAATGGTAGAAAGTGGCTGTGGACATCATATTGAACAATTCCTCTAGCACAATCCATTTGTACAGGTGCTAGAACACGCAGAGTGAGGCAAAATCTCTCCTAAGATTTAAGGGTTCTATACCGCCTGTGAGTCTGGGATCATCAACAATTCAGTTTTTTATATCAGTACTTTTAGTCTGTGCTGAAAGTTTGAAGACTATACTCATTAGTACACTCTAAAGTGCTGAATTTTTGTCAGTTTGCCATTACTAGTTTTTGAATAAATTTTATTTGAAGTTGTGAATATTATGAATAATGAAAATGACCTATTAATTGTTTTATGTTTGTGTTCATATTTGAGGTAAACTGTTGTGATTGTGTTATAGCAAAGCCAAATTGGTATAGAAGTAGGCTAGAAGGGTTTGGTATCAGGACCTCTACAAAACACTATGGTAAACAGATCAAAACTGTATATGAAAATGTAGGTATCAGGATCCTATATAATTTTTTTTTATTTCGGGAAGAGTATCCATATTTAACAACAAATTGCTCTTTTATGCCTTGAGGCATATTTTGCCTGGGAATGGAGATTTTGATTTAAGTTATAGTTTTTTAAATTTTTATAATTCATAAGGTCATTGCAAAGTTAAATCATTGTAGTAAAAAATGAAGAAAATAATGTGCATTGTTAAATAGTAACACTTATCATAATATAACAAGTATAATAATTTGAGTATATTCTAACATACTCAGATTATTATACTTGTTTTATTAAATATGTCAAGAATAAAAAACAGAATATTTAAAAGATAAATATATGTTGTGGCTAGATTTTAGAATTGTATACTTCTACTCTATCTATTCTATACTTTTTAAAATAGTTGTATTTCATGATATGGCCATCATCAATGAAAACATCAATGTTTGGTAATATGTCAATTCACTTTTCAGTATCATTAATGTAAAGTTTCCATGACATCAAAGCTTTCATAAAAATTTCAAATAAGGAAGAAACTTTATATATTTTTCTTGTAACTACAAAAAGCAGTAGGTTTGCAATTTGAACCATCAACATAAAACTTAAAATATTTTAATAAAAATCTTTAAATTACAATAGGTTATATTACTTTAAAATAAAAGTGGGACTTTTATCATCAATTGACACATTTTAATAACTTTTTAACATAATAATTGTCCCCTGCCAAGATGCATTACAAAAATAAAATAATATTAGCACCTCTAACTATGTATAATAAAACTATTTTATGATATGATCACTAATGATAGACTATATCATGAAGGAGCTGTTTAGTTTTTCCTATAGTTGAACACTGATTATGCATTGATATGGCCAGACCACATTATGAAGTGATTAATTCTAAGATCTAGCTACGACATATATAAAAGAAGATTAAGGCATAAGAATAAAATAAATAGACAAGAAAGCTAAAAATTACACTCCTATATCTTCCTTTATTTTGAATGTAGCAAAGCTGCCAAAATGTTATCTTCTTCCCTTCAGAGCCTGCATAGGTTCAGAGGGTTGTCACAAATTTATTTAGATTTACCAAATAATTTTTGATCTGATGTATTCTACATAGCATAGGTTCATGATAAGAGATATTATTACTGAATTCACAGGAGTGTCAGTTCTACCTGAATTTTTATTATGATGGAAGTGTATGAATTGTCTTATTTGTAATATACAATTTAACCAAAAGTACTGGAGCAAGAATTTTATGGTGATTCTCTGTGTGTGATTCTATTTTATTCATTATTTACTTAGGAAATATATAATTATAGTCTTCTAGGTATTAATGAGCAACAAATATTTTAAAAATCTCTATGAACTGTATAATTTATAGTATTAATGATTTTTATTTTCTTTTCTTTTAGTTTGTACAATCTTCACCTATTTCAAATTGGAGTGTGGAGTATCCTCGATCTATATATGAAGCTGGTGATTATAGTGCTAAAGTAATGCTGTTGAAGAGTTTTGTAGGAATTTGGTATCCAGTGGCCACAGCTGTTACTAAATTTAAATTAACAGGTAAGTATCATTAATTATCCTTAGCAATTGTTTGATCTTCTAGGCTTGGTACAGAGATGAGCTATGAGAATTGTCAGTGATCCTAAGATTGTGATAAGAGTCACTAGACCAGAGGCTACGAGACATTGCCTTACTCTATGTTTTTTTTATACAACTTAGAATGGCAAACAAGCTGACGGCCTACCTGATGGAAAGTGGTAACCGTCGCCTATAGACATGAGCAGTACCATGGACTTAACAGAGTATACTGTTTCGCCCATGATACCCCTCATGCGTTGCCATTCCTGAGTACTCAGGTGTTATTCCTCCATACCCAGTAAATTCACGCCATATCCCACACGAAACACAGCCATGCAAACACCACTGCTTTACGGTTGAAACACGAATAGGACAGAGGTACCCAAGCAATTGAAAGATTTTTGGTATAAAAAAATAAACTACTATGGTGCTATTAACTAGATAAGACTCTATGAGAGTTCAGAGTGAGACAGTTCAGTGCATCAACACTGTTCCATTATGCATTTGTATATTTGTTGCTATATTTATAATTTTATGTTCCAGATTCACTCAATGGAAATTTAGTTTTGAGCCAGAATAATGAAGTAAGACCAAACACTTTTGTCATGGTTAATCGCACTGTAATCCACCGCATACAATTACCTGATAAGGAATTGGACTTTTTAAAGAGGAATTCTTCAACAATTGTTACATATTGGTTTAAAGACTGTTCCTACATAGATCAGACTACAGATTTCACCCTCAATTACACATATACAGATTTGATGAATGATCATTATATTGAAGCGATGGTGGTTGCAAATAATGAGCCTCTTCAACCTATCACAACTACTACTTCTACCACCACTACGACTACTACTACAACTACTACTACAACTACCACTACAACTACCACTACAACAACCACTACACCCAAACCTGTAATTCCGTTAGCAACGGCACCATCGCAAATCATTACGGAAAGTCACGCATCAAGTAATAATCAAATGCTGCCTACCCATAAGTTAGTAAGACGGGCATTGTCAAACAAAACTGTGAAAAAAAATAATTCCTATAAAGATTACATATGTCATAATACCAGTATTGTACCTATAGGCAAAAATTATACATATGGATATTATCAAGAGACCATTAGTGTTAGAGGTGAGTGTTAATGATATATATATTTTTATTCTATATGTATTTTCAGTGTCATTTACTTCAATTTTTGTTATTGATGTGGGTAGTACTAAGCACATACAAATGACTGCGCCCGCCTTTGTCTCGGCGATTAGTATTAAATCGGTGTCTAATGAACCTCTGTGTTTATTTGTAGTGTACCCTTCGAGACTTATAGAATATTTATCAAATATTAGTGTATTCTGCGGTTTTTCCGTGTGGTTTAGGATAAATGTATCCCTTGTATTAGTCAACTATGTGGTCTTTGCGTGTAGCACATTCAATTCTATATAGTAGTTTAAGCATGATATGATTACAGTTATTTAAAGTTCATATTTGTATTAGTATATTTGTTAAATCATCAAAACATCTTCACAAACTTCTCATTTAAAATGAGAACTAGTGTCCGACTGAAACAGGTTTTACAGTCGAAACCGAAACTGAACTTTCGGCCTTAGTCTCAGTTTTGGCCAAAACCGAAACTTACTGAAACATATTTAAAATTGCTCTTCTATACTGAAATCTAGTGTATTTTTTACACATATATTTACACAAACACACAGATATTTAAAAAGTAATAATAAACACTAATTAAAGTATGTAACAAATATGTCATATATATTTATATCTAAAAACATGTTAAAATTATGACTTACTGTTGGAAGTAAACTTAAAAAAACCAACTTTTAGTTAGACACACACAAAGTTTCGGCGCGGCCGAAATTTCGGTCAATTTTTAGCCGAAACCGAAACTAAGGCCGAAAGTAGAATTTCTGGCCGAAACTAGCCGAAACCGAAACCGAAAGTTCGGTCGGACACTAGTTTTAACACTACCTAGGATGATCTGGCATTCAAATGTGTACTGTGTGCTGTGTGATGTGTACTGTGTGTGTGTGTACATAATAATTTTTGTTTATTTTATGCTTGTTCTGTTGTGGCAAGTAAAACTTAAATATTTTGTACTAGTTGTTGTCCGCGACTTTATCTGCATAGAATTGAATTTTATTTCCCTTACTTGAGACATTATTGACTTCCTACATGAACTTTCATACTTTTTTTCACCTATTTTCAAGTTTTATTTTCTTGGCAAAATGCAGGTCCAAGCTTCTTCAAGGTCCATTCAATCTCTATAGGGGTAAGATGGGGCAATAGGGACTAGCAGCTTCATTGTCAGTAATATACTCTATCTCTACTCATTTAAGGTTGACCTTAACATGGTTCCCCTTGAAATCCGTCGTGCTTAATTCCTAGTGAATTTATTATTATGGGCTTACTCACCTGCTTTCATTAATATCCCTCACTAGTGCCCCGCTAGCGTATCTCGGCATAGTATAGGCCATCCTCTTCCTTTCCCGTGGGTGTCGTAAGAGGCGATTAAACGAGCGTACGGTGAAGGGACGGCCAGCAGCGTCCTTCTTAAAACATGTTCATAGGCTTAACGGTGGTTGCCAAGCCGCTTGCCAGGCAAGTACTGGCAAAACCCCCCTTATGGGGGAGGCTATGTTCAGCAGTGGACAGTTAACGGCTGATACAACAATATTAGTATGAATTGTAAATGCTATACTTTTTTATTTATATTTATGATATTTTGTCTTTATTTTCAGAACCAATCTCCGTAATTAATATTACGGGTAAGAATTGGCTCCAGCATGGGGACCTGTTAAACTTGCTCGTTATGTATACAGGCTCACCGCCCTTCGATTACTGTGTATTGTACAAACTTGGACAATACAACATTACAGGCAACGAAACTTGCAGTACAAAGACTAGGACATTGTCAAACACATTCCCATTGGTCCATTATTTCTCAGATAGCGACCAACATACAGTTGTAGTGGTGATTGAAAATGATATTGGAAAAACTGCTTCTAGAGCAACTATTAATATCTACAAAGGTAAATAAAATGAATTAGTGATATTTTTTTTTTTTTTAAATAATATTGACCGGCGTGCATGCAAGAGAAGAGCGGATGAAACATGAGATAATGTAAAGATAAAATCCTCTTGACGTGAAAGTAGACAGTAAAATTACTACTAAAGCAGTATAATGGTTTATATATTGCAAAATGGTACCAAATACATTTATAAATATATAGGTACATTTTATTAAACTTATCAATAGTAATAATTAAAATCTATAAACTTATTTTAATTTTTAGTGTTTCGGTATTTTATATCATACCGGGAAATTGAGGCTTAATAGATGTTTGACTTTTTTATAAAGTTTTTTATGAAGTTGGGTTTTATCGTATATATCCTGTAATAGGCCTCAAGATAAAGTTAGCTACCCAGATAAGTATGGTATTAATTTAATATTTTTTGTATTATTTTTTAGCTTCAGTTCATGCACAGTTGTCGGTTATTGTGGTACCTGTGGTGTTTTGTTTGCTCGCTGTCATATTGGTGGTGTTCGGCATAGCATATTACCAACACAGGTCCAGGTAAGATATTTGTGTTTTAACTAAATTGTAATAGGGCTGTCGGATATTCGTTTTATATGCTACTAGCTGCGCCCACGATTTTCTGCACGTGGTAACGCCTACATACATGAACAGCACCATGAAAATCACAATATAGTGCGACTGTATTTTTTTTATACAATCCAATTACTATGATTCGCTGAGCCAATTCTGACAAAACTTACAAGGGTTATAAAGTTCGGCTAATACTTTATAAAATTTATTGAAATTTACGAAACAAAAATTAATTTTAAAAATGACAGATTTGGGTTTAAATACTTTCTATTAGCTTTGGGTAGTTTAACAAAATATTAGATAAAATTTTTTGGAAGTGACTCAAACAGTAATTTCAATAAAAATTACACAGATTTGATTGTTGGTCATATATATTTATGCATATTTTTATGTGTCCACAGATACACAGTTGAAGTAGCAGACTTCGATTTTGGCCAAGCTCACCTAGACTATAAAACCTTTATGGAGAGACTGAGGGATAGTTTCAGAAATGCTTTTAAATTCCGACAACAGGACGACACCGACCCCCTTACCACAAATACTAGATATGATTCCATGACGTAGAGACAATATTCAACGTAAGAGGAATGGGAATTTATGATCTGCTATGGTGGTATGTGAAAGGCTTTGAGGTATGCATGTATTAGTCCATTTCTAATCAATTTTTTGATATTGAAGGATTATGAAAATCATGTTCGTGGATAAAGTACTTTCAAAATTGTAACGGCCATTCCAATTTATCACTAGAGCATTTATGCGAGTTAGATGTAAGTTTTGAACCGATATATTATAAAGGCGATGTGTGTTAAATATTTATTTTATTTCTCAAAAAGCCAAAACACAAAAACGTTATCTGACTGAATGATACTTCAATTTTTATTTAATCATATTATAATTATGTTCCTTTGATAATATTGTTTGGAGCGAGTCCCTACTTGTCCGAGTCGTACAAAAGTAGGAATTATACTGTAAGATATTGTAAAATATTTCATTAATTATTGGCTTTAAATTAATTATTATATTTAATTAATCAAAAGAGGATATTTTGACATTGTTATTAAGTCTTAGTTTTAATGTTAGTGGTTTTATGTAATAAATATTGTGTGTATTTTTTTTTTTTATAATAGACTGATGAATTTTTGGAACCGACTTGATTATGTATACTATTCTATGTTTAATTTTGCGCATAGTAATTAATAAACCTTTTTATACACTTTCAATTGATAATAATTGGTTTCGGTGTTTAGATATATTTTATACAATTTATACTTATTTCAATATGTTATATGATGGTGTACTTTTCAATCCTGGATGTCGATTTGTATGAATGTATGGGATGTATCAGCACTTTTGTATAATGCATTGTCTAAAATTATTTTACAATTCATTTAAAGCGAATATAGGTATTTCATTTATTTTTGATTGCTGAAGGAAAGTAATGCATGATATACGAGGTATTATATCAGCCATTTTGATACAAATAAGTGGTACCATTGTGAAATTTATAATCTGCCATTGTGTAATTTATAAAATGTAGAAAACACCTTTTCTAATGTCTTTTTGTCTAAATAAAAATATTTTTACTTTATAAAAATAAAAATTAAAAGAGACATTTCTTTTAATTACATAATAAATAAAATTTAATTATAATACAAACTTAATTGATTATTTATATCAAAGCAACATTTTTGGCTGTTTTATTTTTAAATTAAATTTGATAAAAAGGCATGTTAAGATTGTTTTCTAATTATGTCCAGTGAGAAAAACAGATTATACTTATTACCTGTTTACTATAGACTGAATTCAATAAATTTGTTTGTAAAGATTACAAATTGTTAGTATTGATTACAAAAGCATCTAAAAGGGGTTGCGTAGATAATACAGTCGGTTCCGCTGAAATGAAATTAGGCCCAGTAAAATTTACACAACATAAATAGTTTATAAATGGTAGTTTTAAAGTAAATACTATTTACGCTTTGGTAGAATTTTACTCTTAAAACGTTGTTTTAGTAAATTTGTAAATTGGGTCTGAAGGAGTCTATGTTTGATCAAACTGACAAGAAAGAGATTCACTGTTAATAAAGCCGCTTTATTATCTGCGGAGCTCCTTAATTAGAATGAGTATAGTGACAGAAGGTTGCACATTGTACGTAGTCACACTCATAGGTACAAAATATGAGTATGTACATTATAATCATTATATAATTATTAATGCCAACGTAGTTATACTTTGCTACAAAAATCAATTTTGTTAATGTATTATTTTTTCTGAAATTGTGTTAGTAATGTCATTATGAGAACTGTTGTAGTACAACAAAATATCATACTAATTATGATAATTTAATACTGTAGATAAATATTTGTGTTTAGGTGGCCATTTTGTAGGAAATTTACTCTAAACATTTAAAACATAATAGTACAAGTATTTATAAAGTCTTAGCTTCTTTTCTGTGACTACTGCAAATACTATCTAATCGCATGTGCAAAGGCAAAAATAACGAATTAGTCCTGCGTCATTGTCAATTTGGTAGGAAATTTTCACGTAGTTTTGGGAAATATCTCTTTAAACAGTTGTACGGCGCGGTCCTACACAAGTAGCAAACGAATCTATCTATAAAATGATTTCAGCTACCGCATGCATAATAGAACGAGACAGTAACGCCCGTCTTATTTTTTCTCATACGTATGCTAAGGATAATATTTTTTAATAGAAGAAAATGAAATGATGCACTTGCCTATGTTAATGGTATACAATAGTGGAGGACGAAACGATGAATTCGAAGGCATGTCAGTTGGCCAATCTTGGCGTGGAGATTGACTTGATAGGGTACTTCAAACAAATTAAATTAAATTTTCAACGATAACATTATACTAATTGATTTAACAGACGTTGTTCTATCAAGAGTAGACCGTTTACGCAAAATAGTTTTTATGGGAAAAAGAAAAATGGCCCTTTCACATATTTCTGGACAGTTTTTCAAATATAAAAAAATGTCGAATGAGTCTAGTCGTTTTCAAACTTTGCGTTTAGTAACACATTTAGCGATTAATTTTTAATTTATATACATAGATTCATTATGTCACTTGTCTAGGACTGGGGGAGATTCGTTTACATGTCGTTAAGAGACTTCGTAAATAGTATTCATAACTACATAATAGCATATTTGCTATTACGACTATGTAATCTCTCGATAGAATGAACATAATAATAATGAATCATTTCATATCAGTCACTATTCCTATAATACGTAAAAGTCATAGTTGTTGCAACAAAATATGATAGTGCTTATCAAAATAATATGTACCTAGTAACTTGACAAACATTTTTATTATATACCTACAGTATTTGAATATTTTTATTTACCGACATAAACTTAAGTTTAGGGAATGTATACAGTAAGGCCTATGATGTATCAAAGAAAAAGGCAAGTCATGTTTTGTGATATCCTAGGATTAGATTTGCATCATACAACAAATAAGTTTCGATATGTAGCGTGGAGATGCGTTGCATTGTAAAAGAATAAAGAGACGGACATTTATAAAGTTCATAGAGAGGCATAGTAGTGCCCACAATGTACAGAACAGGAATGAATGATTTAATCTAGTTACAATAAAAACGTTATACTTTCCATTTGTTTTTTATTTGTACACGTATTTTGTATATAAATTATAGAGTACGGAGGCGTAATAACTTTGGAATAGTAACACACGTGTTATATCATGGTCATCAGTATTATGTGACGTATATGATGCTGTTTATGTCTATAGACGACGGCTACCACTTTACATTAGGTCAGATGTTTGTAGGTTTGCAGTTTATAATAAAAAAGTATGTTTTTTTTCTAGATATATTAACGAAATTAATAGTAGTGGATAATAGTATTATATTATCTGTGGTAGGGGATTTACACTATATTTAAGCAGTGAGATACTTATTAATAAATAAGAGGAACACGTGTTATTTCCTTGTCGAAGACGTGTTATTTCGTTTTCATTTTATTTTCAAGTTTCGGCGAAACTTGAACAAAGCGAGCGTTCACTTCATATTTCACATTTATTAAAACATCACTCAACAAAAGTATGATAATATCATTTGTTATAGAGATACTAAACTAATATTATTATTAACGTTTAACATTTGTTATTGTATTTCATTAAAAATTATAAATATAATCATAGTTGTGGTATGATTTTATATATGACATCATACCTATTAGCAACGCATTTAATGTTGTTCTATAGCTATGTAGGATGAGATAAAATGCACCTATTACTTAGTAGACATAATTTCGATTCATTGCACGTTCGTGTCGAGAAATTTTCTTCGCGGACCAGTTCCGCTGAAGCGTAATACAGCAACAAACAAATCGGAAATAATTTATTCAAAATTCTTATTATGTAGTTCAGATGATTCACTTTTCCTTTATTGTCTGGTTTATGTATGTAGTTAAATAACTCATTGTTCTTATATGTATGGCTATTTATTTAATATACGATAATTGTTTATAATGAGGGGTTTTCAAATTTTTCTGACATAAAATATAGGGATACCTATAAATATTTTTGATGCAGTCGTCTGAGTTTCTTAATTATTATTTTTAACTGAAATTGCATTCCGAATTGCGCGGCAGAACCATAAAAATTACCGTGCAAATGACGATTCATTGGATTAAGAATAATTCACTATTTATATGACTAAAAATGTAAGAATCTCAGATGTCAGTATGTAAGATACTGTATTTAGCTTATTTGAATGACTAATTTTATGGCGTCGATGATTTAAATCATAAATGGATATTATATTGAAATCAGGAGGTACTAATATATGAATGTACAATACGAGTAGGTGTCTATCGCTGCAATGTAATGAGACTGCACACAAAATGTGATTGATTATTTATCACTATAAGCTATCATAATAGTGGGCGGTTTGCTGTAGTTATTTATAAAAAATAATACGTATTTAAATTATTATGTCAAAGGTTACTTCCTATATTTGTTTTTACTCTACTCTCGAAGAATGGAGGGTAATGTTTTACAAGTGTAACTACTTGATTTTTGGGATAAGGTGTAGTCCTTTATAGTGTATTCAGTGCCTTGGTATTTATAAATGAAGTTTTACTATATTCATCTTATTCTTCTTTTTATTAATTTGTGTAATTACCTATTTCATAATTGACTCCATTACCCAATATTTGTACTCGAAAATTGGCTATCAGTGCTATAGTGCTTCTTGATAATTGAGATTTTCGTTTTTGATGAGTAAAATTATAACTTAGTGATTACTAGTCCTGTGGAGAAATTTTTTAAATTATTTGACCATACCAGGTCATTTTCAAGGAGGTCGACCTGATAGAGTATATGGCACGTGATTCATTTAATATGAAATGAATTTTACTATCTTATCATTTTAGGTTATGACTCGGGTCGCAACAGAGTTCTCTTAGAATAAAGAAAATGTAAATTGTTAGCAAGTAGGTACTATCAAGAGTCTTGATTAGGCTTAACGATTAAACTATACGAAAGTCCTTAAATTCAATAAAGTTAATAGGTTTTCATAAAATTAGTCAAAGAAACTGATGGTCTTAAAAACAATATCTACGTTATGAGATGGGGCTCACTAGACACAGTTAGGATGATTGTTGTAGTTCAAAAACAAGCATAATGGTCAAAAAGGTTTATAAATTTTACATGCACACTTTATATGGTGACAGAATACGCCCCACTCATAGGAAAATGAAATACCTAGTCAATATTTAATCAAATACGATTTCTTTATGTCTGATTTATCTGGGTACAAAATCACTTATACTGAAGTTTATGTGTTTAATAATGATTGAGTAATAAATATAGTACATATATACAAGCTTTCGCTTTTACTGATAATATTACCAATTTAGTAATGTAGTAGGATTCACCATATCAGCCGTTAGTTGTCCACTGCTAAACATACCTAATAACCCCCTGGTTTTGCCAGTAGTTGCCAGTTCCATGGCATGCGGATTGATAACTATAGTTAGGCTTTGGTAATGTTATTATAGGTATATTATAATAATAATTTTAATTATTTATAGTTAACTATTAATTAATTTATTTATAATTATTTATAATTAATTGGCAAAACAGAAATGGTTGGTAGAGAATGCTATATAGTATTAAGTCCGACTTTTGTACATATTTTTTTTTTGTAAAGTGGTGAATAGAGAATAAATAAATAAATAATTATTTATAATAACATATTTTTTTGCGTATATCATTAGTAAGCAGAATATTCAAGTTGACCTGCTTTTATTGATAAAGTGGTTATAGGTTATTGTATTTTTAAATATAAATATTTTGAAGATTACTATAATAAATCTCTCTACAGAGAGCTACGTAATTTTTCAAAAATGTTTTTCATTCATATTCTCGTTCGTTTTTATTTAAAGAAAATAAGATGTAATTAATTATTATTGGATTAGATTACAAATCTTGATTTGAAGCGATTTGAAGTAATAGGTAAAAATCGTGAATTTAAAAAAAATTAGGCTGAAATTATACTTAGGTTATTTATTATACAAAGATCTATTTGCTTTGACTATGATTACAATATTAACATAGATTTTATGATATTAATAAAACTAATTATTTACTAACAAAGGTTCACCAGCTGTTATAGAGCTTTCTATGCCACAGTGATCTTCACCTCGGAGAATTTTGAAAAAGCCGTTATTACCCCAGTCAGTGTTCCACGAGTTTGCAATAAGCCAGTATTTGGTTCCATTCTCAACGCCCCAACCAATGATTTTAATAGCATGTCCGCCGAGAGCGTTGCCTTGTACATGTTTATATACTCCATCTTTGTAAGCGAGCAAATCGGAATAGACGGTAAAAGCGCCTTCAACAGGTCCATTTTTATATAATTCAGCCTTTATATGGTCTTCTCCACCGCTGACAGAATAAACATGTTTAGCATACCGTTTGTCTTTTTTGTATGGCACATTGTAGTTAGTTTCGCAGCTTTTCGTGCATTTTGGTGTTTTGGAATCACCGCTGCAAGGCATCCTGTTACCAGGTACATGATGTTCACATGGAGCGATTTCATATGGTCTGCATCCTTGGCTTGAATTGTAATTGCCTCCAGACACGATGCCGAAATGTTTGTAATACTCCCAAGCGAGTCTCGGCATGCCGCCGTTACAACCAAGGCCGCAAATTGGACAGCAGGTCAATAGATCATCAGCGGAGAAATGGAAATGCTGAGTTCCGTTTGAATAAGTGCAAACTCTATCTGTCATAGCTTCAACTGCACCGAAAGCCCAGCAGCTCCCACAGGATCCTTGGTCTCTAATTTCGTTTAAAGTAGGACAATCGGGCCACTTATCTCTTGGGTCGAAGTTTTCAGGAAGCGATGCTATTAATTCAGCATCATGAGTCACCGTTGGAAGTTTCGCGAAGTTATCATCTGGCAGTACACCCATTAGTTTCTTAATATGTTTGAACGATGTATTTACTGGAAAATTGCGGCCGGCCTTCCACAGATTCTGCTTTGTGTTGATAAGATTAATAAATTCGTCGGAGAGAGGATGCAAAATATCGACTGCTGCTACAGACAGGCCGATAAGGACCATCATCGTGACGAAGACCGATAAAGGCGCCATTATAGGTATGTTTTTGATGACTTAGACGCAGGCGCAGTTGGTACCGACGCGCACTTAGCACGAATATAGCGTACTGACTAACCGGAGGCGTCAGAACAGAACAATGAATAACAACTAATGTGAGTATGGGAGCTGGGTTCACTTGCTCGAACGCCGTGTAATTACGCGGATCTAGAGCGAGTGAATGACACGCGACCGAGACAGCGGCTGGCTTGTTTGGCTGTCCGTGTCGAAGGTTAGCAGTAATATCAACAGTTAATAAAACAAAGCAAATAGAGATCATGGTACAACGCTTTATAATGATCAGTAAACATTTGTTTGTGTCCGTCGAATATAATGAGTTGGGAATTAGCTACGGTCCGCTTTGTTTGCTTATATTGTAAGTAGGTAGATACTAAAGCAACAAAGCGGTTTAATAACAAAAAATAAATAAATGATTACTAATTAGTAACTAATTGAAAATGTACCTAATTAAAGTTCTAGAATATTAAAATTATGCAAATTGTAAATAAATTAATAGAAAGTGGTACCGTTCCCTATAGACATGAATTGCACTATGAATTGTATACACCATTAGCCTTTTCTGAAAACCAAGATTTTAAACCTCCATTCTCTCATGATTCAAAATCATAAAATTAACCATAAAGGTTTTTTCATTTCGCACAACATACGAGTAATATAACTAAATTACATTAAACAAGTAAGCAAAATATTGGTAACAATTTTAGTGATAGTAGATACCTACAACTAATATGTTAGAAAATAGTGTTAATAAACCAAATTTATACTAGTGATGGCCGTTACATTCGCCGTTACTTTCTTATATATATATTTATTGACTACGCCACTGAGGATTACAGCCGTGAGCATATTTTTTAGTTAGGTCGACAACACAGAAATCATTATCATTCTCCTAAGGGGATGTTTTATTAGCCAAATTGGACTTTTATGTCAAGTAACAAATAGGGAAATTTAATAAAAAAAAATTAAAATCTTGCATAGGTACTAACATGGTACAGCTATTAAGATTTTATAGGTATTATATTTCTCATTTGTTAGAGATACGCAATGTTTTAATAAGATACTTACCTACTTAATAATTGATTATTTAATTAATTATCCCTATTGTGTGCATAATGATAAACAAGTTTTATAGTACTAGTAAATATAATTAAGTAATAAATATTGTAAGATGAACGTACCTACTTTAAATATGTATAAAAGGAACGCATCTTAATTAACAGATGACATTAGTTGACATGTATGTACTAGCGGATTTTCCGGTTGCTTTCCCACCTTTGTTCACTTTCTTTAAGTTAATAAATATATGTTTGCAATGGAATAAGTTTTATTTAAATATAACAAATATAAGTGTTGGTACATCCATAATGTACATCCATAATGTTTTTAAATATGAAAACGAGTTTATTTGTCACCTCTTGGCGCCTTCACAATGTAATTAAAATGATCGTTATACCCGTAGAATATTCCATAGTAAATATTTAGTTTCAATAGAAAAATATATCTAGGCTACATTGTTTCCCGGTTAGTCATTATGCAGCCACGCTTATTATATTTATTATTATTAAAATTAATTGCATATTTTTGTAATTTTAATGTTTTGTGCTTTGCATCTTACAATGATTTGAATTACTCTTTGTAACTGTTGAGTTTCCTCTTGAAAATCATTATTCCGAACTTCGAGTTAGAATCGGAATAAAAAAATACTACCAATACAATGCAGTTACTATATTTATGCTATATGCAAAATATATTATTATATATTATTTATTTGTCTTTTAATTTTTTTCTACATTTGAGCAACGCTTAAGTGCTGCTTTTACATTTTCCAAATGGGAAACCGAATTGATCAGATAAACACACTTGTATGCATCTTATAAATTCAGTTCTCATTTCTCTCTCTAAGCAGGCTTAATGATAGCTTTTATGTTTTTATAGAACAGGAAAAAGAAAATTACTACCATATTCCCATTATTATAAGGACTGCAAGTAGTATATTTTTTGTATTCAGACCCTTGATGCTCAGAATACTGGAGGTGCTTACTGTTACTATCAGTTTCTTCTTAAGTAATTATTTTTATATATATATATATATATATATGTATATATATATATATATATATATATATATATATATATATATATATATATATATATATACACACACACACACACATATATGTGGTATGTCAAATATTTTGTTTTTGATATGTATGTTTTATTTTCAAATTTTAAATGATAAAAATTACACTGCTTTAAATAATAGTTTTTTTTTAGAAAATAGCACAAATAGGATTGTGCTTATAAGAGTATCAGCGTCAGTAAATTCTTGACAGTAAGGAGAAACTGTCTACGCATGGCAGGGTCGGTATTAGAAAAGCGGGGTCAATATTTTACGTTCATTATCATATTAACATTTCTAATTGCCTTAATTGTTTATTAGTAGAAGTTTTCCGGCTCTAGTTTCGCTTTCTATATTGCAGTGATTTTCATCACGGAGGATATTGAAGTAGCCATTATTTTTCCACTTAGTATCCCATGAATTCGCTATTAACCGTCATTTAATATTTTTTTCACACCCCAACATATTTATAGATACATATTTATAAATGCTACTTTTATAATTTATCAGCTTAGCATATACATCAGTAGACCGATCAATAAGTCCATTTTTGCATAATACAGTTTTAATGTGTTCTTCTCCTTCATTAAAAGAATACACATTTATACATATAGCGAACGAGTGTTCCCAACCTTGAAGCTATGTATGAGGTTATACTCGTATAGCACATATGTCTTTTAGTTTCTCTTCTCTTGTGTGTATTTCTTATGTTAATAACTGGCTAAGACAAAATCATAAGAATAAGATTCTTATTGCGGAACCCTACATTACACTTACATAACCTTAGGTACACAAAATTATTGAAATATATAGAAGATGGGAATATTTAAAAAGATTTTCTTACTCAAAAAATATACACGCTACTAAAATGCCGCTGAATTTTACTCCAATTTATTCTAGGACACAATATCAATATTTTATATTTAACTGTTATTAATAATAAATAAGATTATTATCAGTTAAGTTTATATCTAAGGTTTATGTTAACTAACGAAGTACAATAAGAATTATAATTAATCATTCGAAAATATTTTAACTGTGCACACTTTTTCAATGCTATGTGTGACTTCATAGTAGCAACCTTACCCTAAGAATTAATTTTCATAAGAGAGTTTTGAAATTATTTCCTTAAAGTATTAAGTTTTGACATTCATCATACTTAAGTCAGCTTAGCTTAAAGCGTCAAAAGGAACATGAAACATAAAACTTGGACACGCAGAATTCTTGTAATGTTGTAGGCGCCTTGTTACCTAATTTATTACCAAACTATCTTAAATGTATTTATTGACCATATATAATATAATTTTATACATAGTGTAATTAAGAGTAAGTATTCTCTGCCCCTTTTACGAACTGACTTCACCCATATTTGTTTCAAATGTGATTCAAATCGAATTGAAATCTTATCGTAATCATAAGAAAGTTAATGTTTTTTTTTCACAACTTCGATGAAATTTATGAAATAAAAAATATTAACTTCTTTGAAGGGGGTGATTTACCAATGAAACAATTATTCTTCCAAAAGAAGCAACAAAATAAATTAAGCCACCCAACTAATACAGCGTGCACGTCATACCGTCATACATCTTCTTTATGTTTATTTTATTGCATGAAAATGGAATAGTAACACTGCCTGACCATTAATATACGTTGGAGGATCACAATGAGGTCCGTTGACCCATTTAGATTAATGAAATAAACATTAAAATCGGTTTACAATGAAGCAAATATCGCGTAACATACAAAAAAAAAAAAACATACGTAGAGAGACAAATAGAGAACATTCTACTTTTAGAAGTCCTGTAAAAACAATAATCTAGTTTGATATAAGTCAACTGACATATTGTACGCCCATCGAATTGAATTACTGTTCTTGTATTACATGGAGTATAGGGAGATAATAAAGGAATTAAGGGCATACATTTACAAAGACTAAATATAATGCACCAAGTCAATTACGATATGATACAGGAATTGCGGTCTTAGTTGCAATTCTATGGCTACATAGAATTTCTGACAAAGTGAATTATTATCTCAAAATGTTGAAGTTAACTTTATGGCATTATTTCAGCTTCTCTTTGTTGCCCTCACTTGGTTCATAGACTAAGAATTTGTCTATGGCTCGATTCATTTTTGTTCTACGAATCAAAATAATGTAGATAAGTTGGTATACTAAAATCTACGTGAAATATCCGTTATCTTAAAAATGATTTCAAATTCTTCATCATTATTTAACATTTTATTTCTTAAGTATGATGATGCACAAAGGGATATGAGCTGATGACTAATTAAAAACATCACCGTTGATATCACAAACATAATCGATATTACAGAATACACTGTGAACAATGAATATGTTCTGTGGTGTAAAAATCTTTATGGTATAGATAGAGACACAGAGAAAAACATAAATGATGTAAAAAATTAATTCATTATTGGATTATTTGTAGGTACTATATTTATATGTAAATGGTCTTTGTTCATGTTCATAGGCCACGCCTTCACATTTTATTAGGCAGGTGGCCCTTACATTAAGTAGGTAAGTATATTATGCCATTTATACTTTATATGTTTATGGTTGGCCATTATTACCTTATTTGCCATTTGAAGTAATATAATAAAAAAAATATTTGTCTATTAGTTTTTGTTTGCGTATTTATTTGCGTATTCAGAATCAATTGATCGAAAAATAGTTTCTGTCAATTTCAATTTGAAATATTATATATGTACATATACGCCCAATTTGTAGAGGGTAATACAGGAATAAAAAAAACCATATCTACAGAGGTGTATATTTCGAAATAATGCCTTTGTAGATTTTGATTTATGAAAAATAATGTCCATATATACACGTGGTTAGACTTAAATTTATATATCGAATACAACGAAGATTCAATAAAATTTCATGATCATAAGTGATTAAAGCGCCAAGAGGTAACAAACAAATTCACTTCCACATTTATAAATTATTATTGAATGTAAGGAAATGAGGAATTCATTAACTTTGTACGTACCAGCTTGGTCAATATACTTATTTATTATATTTTGATAGCTATAACGAATTTTTGAAAAGTCCGGGCATA